CACCCGCAACTTGCGTAATTTTAAGGGTATCAAGTTTTCTGCTTTTCGTCACCTCCTTGCAAATTCGCTTTCAATGTTATCCCCATCATCGGATCCAACCGTCTGCGCTCTCCAACTAGAAGCTGACATGAGGGCGGCGCTGGACAAACTAGCTCCATTAAAATCACGAACCGCTAGGCAGTCTTCCCACGACACTCACTGGCTCTCAAGAGATGCCATCATTGCTAAGCGAACCAGGAGGCGCCTTGAAAGTATCGCATCCCGCAGTGGTCTACCTGCTGATCGACTTGCTTACAGAGTCGCCTGCAGGAAACTAACAAACTGATCCTAGTCTCACGTTCCTGCTACATTGAGGAACGCATCAAAAAACCAACTGGAAAACCGCGCATTCTATGTAAAACCCTCAAAGATCTTCTACATCCTGGTAGCACCATAGTCCCTCACCTTAGCGATCCCCTTGCCTCACTGAAACTTGCCACCTCTTTTAATACTTATTTCACCAACAAGCTAATCACCATCGTAAACTCGTGCACGTCTACCGACACATCGCACCATTGTACCCCACTCATGGTACCTAAAATTGTAAGCACTAACCCAGACACTCTTCTAATTACGCTAAAGCCGGTGTCTACAAAAGACGTTTTCTCGTTAATTGAATCACTTCATTTGAAGTCATCTCCACTCGACGTGCTCCCAGGTTCCTTGTTCAAGCAATGTGCTCCTGGAACTCGCCATCATGATCAGGAACATCGCAAATGCCTCCTTCTCTACGGGGTGTTTTCTGTCCAACCTCAAACCTGGCCTGGTTTCTCCCTTGTTAAAGAAACCAAGTCTTGACCCGGATGACCCATCTAGTTATCGTCCCATCACTAACCTCTCGAACCTCTCTAAACTCCTTGAACGACTAGCCCTCGCCCAGCTAAAACCACACATCACCTCCTCCGCAAACTACAGCACTCACTAGAGTGCTCGATAACATTTTAACGATCATTGATTGCGGCTCAACTGTTGCACTTATAATTCTTGACATTTCGTCAGCCTTTTACACCATCAACCATTCGCTCCTTGCTTCCCTCCTGAAATCCGACTTCGGTATATGCGGCTCAGCACTCATGTGATTAGTTTCGTACCTTTCTGACCGGCATGTCCACATCGCCTGAAACAATAGCATTATGCGGGGTTCCCCAGGGCTCTGTACTAGGTCCCCTGCTCTTCACAGCCTACACTTCCCCGATCGGCCTGCTCATCGCAAGCTTCGGTATTAAGCATCACTCATACGCGGATGACACGATTCTATTCACCGCCATCGATTCTAGCAATGCATCTGGATTCGAGAGGCTCTCGGAATGTACTACCCGCGGTGCAACAATGGATCACTGCACACAACCTAGCCCTTAATCCGAAAAAGTCAGTGGCCATCATGTTAGGTACCAAGCAACATCTCAATTCAGCAGCACTCCCCACATACATACACAACTTCGGTCACAGCATCAAGTTCACCGACCACTTCAGCTACCTCGGTGTCTTCCTAGATTCAACTTTATCCTTCGACCATCAAACCAACCATATCATCAGCTCATGTAACTTTCACTTGAAGGCTCTCAGACACATACGTCCTCTCATCTCTACTGAAATTGCCAACACATTGGCATGTTGCATAGTTGGGTCTCGCCTTGACTATTGCAACTCCGTCCTAGTCCGGACCTCCGCTGGAATGTACTACCCGCGGTGCAACAATGGATCACTGCACACAACCTAGCCCTTAATCCGAAAAAGTCAGTGGCCATCATGTTAGGTACCAAGCAACGTCTCAATTCAGCAGCACTCCCCACACACATACACATCTTCGGTCACAGCATCAAGTTCACCGACCACTTCAGCTACCTCGGTGTCATCCTAGATTCAACTTTATCCTTCGACCATCAAACCAACCATATCATCAGCTCATGTAACTTTCACCTGAAGGCTCTCAGACACATACGTCCTCTCATCTCTACTGAAATTGCCAACACATTGGCATGTTGCATAGTTGGGTCTCGCCTTGACTATTGCAACTCCGTCCTAGTCCGGACCTCCGCTGGCAAAACTAAAGAAACTTCAAAGACTACAAAACAACCTAGCACGCGTCGTCATTGCCCACACTCATCCCTGTCTCGACTCACTAGCTTGTCTCCGTGCTATCAACTACATACAAGATCGCCTGCCTCTGCCACAATGCCTTCATATCCGCTTGCCCGCCATACCTTTCTTCACTATTGACAACTTGCAGCTCAGCACACGGCAGATGCCTGCGCAGCGCGACTCACGACCTCCTCTTGATACCAAGATCCAGGATGGTCATGTCTATGCGCCGCTTCTCGGTGGCAGCCCCAACAGTCTGGAACGATATCCCTCTGCACATTCGCAGCATCACCTCAATCGCCTCCTTCAAGAGAGACTTAAAAACTCACTTCTACAATCATGCTTTTGAGTGACTTTGAGCTTGGCTCCGCGCCTCTGAGTTGCGGCCACTACGTCTGTAAATTTGCGCGCGTTACAAATTGAACTATTATTATTTATTTATTCAGGCGCGGCGCGCAGATAACGTGGTCTCGTATCCGACAGCTTTTGGGTTAGCGCTAACATATAGATACTTAGGCTAGGATAACATATAGATACTTGGGCTAGGCCAGCCCCCTATTAGAGACGACACGAAGACAGCGACGACGCAGAGACAGCGACGACGCAGAGACAGCGACGACGCAGAGACAGCGACGACGCAGAGACAGCGACGACGTGGAGACAGTCCATCCCGATCCCACGCCAGCCCCAAGCTCCCTCGCCCGCCGCCTTATATTCCCTGGCGTGGCTTCGCTCCGCCCCCGGCCACGCCCCCTTTCTCGAATTGTCTCGGCCAACCCCGAACTTCCTCGATAGTCCCCTCCTGTAATTATCCCTCGTGACCACTTGGTCATGCACTGTCCCTCTTTCTCCGCACTGTCCCTAGACGTATATTACTCTCTGAACTCATGACATCCTCTACTACCTTCACATCATCATTTCCTGACACCTGCAGTGACCATTTATAATAGCCTTATCTTAACACTGGGAATCTCATTTTAAGGACTCAATGTCCAGTCTTCGGACATGTGTCAAAAGTTGTGTTGCTTTTGCCATAATCCTTGCATATTCTGCATACTCCAAAGTCTAAGTTTCATATGAACCATTGTTGATTTATATGTGTTTGCTCAACCCATTTCCGTGATGACAGTGAACACATAGTGAAGCACAGCATGGACATGATAGGTGTGTTCCAAAAACCAACCCTGTCTTGTTGTGGGAAAAGGAATATGTCCATGAATTGTAGTCACTTGAAAGCTGTGGTCAAGTGGCCTCTATTATAGGGTTCTAGAAACCATAGGGGAGTACACCTAGCATATTCAAATACCATTCCAATAGGCCAATGAATCCTGTCTAATCATTGTATTTTATTAAGGCAGAGCTCCATTTGACTCTCACAGTGGACAACATTGTACATAAATTATCTGTATACTCATAATACATGTTTTTGGGTTAGATCGCATTATTTATAAATGTGTCGCAACCCTCCACCACCCGACACGGCCAATCAGTAAAAAAAGTGTCACGTTGACAAAAGACAAATAGTTTACTACTTTAGCCCACCGGTGTGTTGAAGAGTGAATCCATAACATTTACATTTTTCGAGTACGACGTTTCGCTGGTAATTACATCCAGCATCATCGGATAATTTGCCTGCTCCCGGTCTTAAATAGAGCAGCAGGGTGATATCATCATTTTACCCAATCAGGTGCAGAGATCAGAGGCAGAGAGGAGGTAATTATATAATAGCTTAGTAATCAGTTAAATGTTATGATTAGTAATCAGTTGTAGATTAGTAATTAGTTGTAATGTGTATTATTTAATAATTGAACCCAATCACTACCCATTATATACTACGTTAGCAATCAGTGAATTAGTGTATGTGTTTCCCCGAAAAGGAATTGTAATAATTATTGAATCATACACTTCCAGGCCGCACTGATTGGCCGTGCCAGGTGCTGGAGGGTTGCGACACATTTATAAATAACGCGATCAAACCCAAAAACCTTTATTATGAATAATATTGGTCGCGAAAGCCTACGTGTTAAACTATCTGTATACTGCCTTCCCTAATACAGTAATCATAGCCAATAAGCACTGGAACAGTTATTCAGTATCTGGTCGGAAGTGAATCTATCCACTCCAGCCTGGGCTGTAGGCTAAATGCTGATGTTATTTTAGGCCACATTCCACCAATGGTCGCCTGTACTTAGCAAGCTGTGTACATAGGATAATTGCTGAAGCCGTACCACAAGATACACTTTAGCGCACCAAGTAACACATCTACCAATGATCAAAATGTTTACTTAACTGAACTTGTGTTTTTTGTAAATTGTATATAGTGAATTGGTTACCAGTCCAGAGTAATGGGGGGGCAGGGATACCAAACAAAAACATGGGTAATGTAAACGATATGTAATTAGGGCTATAAAATGATTATTTTATTTACCTATGTAGAATGTGTGTGGAAATGCACAATGCATCATGTGGTATTATTGTTTTTTTCAAGTAATCAGATTATTAGCTGACATGTTTGCCGTCAGGTGGGCACCGAGTAACTGACCCAGTACAAGTGAAGAGCAGCTATTAAACTAGCGAATGGAAAGACGTGAAAGAGCACAGTTAATCCGCTGGATAATCTGACCATAGATACATTTTGACTTAAAACTTTCGTGACTGCAGGAATTCATATTATTTGGTTCTTTCCGTAAAGTCACGTAGATAGAAAATAAAAAAGTAATACAAAAAAAAGAAAAATATTTTTTATTTTATTTTCCAGCTACCTGACCATAGATAGTCAGGAGTTCACTGTATACAGCTACTTGCTAAACATATGCAAACATGTCTGAATATCTTTGTTACGTATACCTAAGTGTGTGATTGCATTTTACACTTTGCAGACACTGGAATAAGCTAATGGACATGGTGGGCATTCACTGTGACTTGGATCCTGACAAGTTTACACTGGAAAATGTGTTTTCTATGGAACTGCACAAACACAATGCCAAGATCCCAGAGATCATCACCATTGCTGCTAAGGAGATTAGCATAGAAAAGGTTTTTTGTTTGATATCACATCATTGAAAGTACATAATATTGAGAACAATCCATAAAGACCGATTTTAAGTCATAAATTATGTATCCAAAGTACTGGTTAAGGCATTTTTTAAACAAAAACAAGAGTTCAACTCTATCATGTGAGTGAGGCACACACAATGAAGAATGCACATTAAGAAAAATAGTTTTCCCAAAACATGTTGGGGTTTTCTTGTGAATTCAAAGAAGCATTCTTCAAAAAGGAATTGACTTATTCACAGCATGACTTTAACCCCGCAAAAGAGCCTTTGTAACTCTGAGCCTTAGCTTGATGAATGAATTAAATATTTTTCATGATCGCTGGGATTGACAATAAAGAGATTGAAAAAATGTGTTTTAAGCGGGAACTTGCATGCACGCGTTTGAGTGAGCAGGGCATACAGGAGATTGAGGATACATGGAAGAGCATGGAGTTTACACTTACACAGCACATGAAGGGGACGGAAGGACGAGGACATGTGCTGGACTCCACAGCTGAGATCGTACAAATGCTTGACGACCAAACCATGATCTTGCAGGGAATGGCCGGCAGCCGTTTTATTGGTCCCTTCCTTGGCACTGTGCAGAGCTCGTGAAAAATCCCTGTCCCTCATCAGAGAAGTCATTGAGGTATTTAAATTCACTCACAAATTGCTGGGTCGTGACATTCTGTTGTAGGTATCTATGTATGGTGAACTTCTTTCACACCGTACATAGCCAACTGCACTAATCAGAGGTGCGGGTGCTATTCAGATGTGCATTCATGATATTTCATTCTGAAATTTTCCATGTGCGGTAGCTATAATATGCCTTTAATGTGTATATTTGGGATGTGGGTTAATAAATCACACATGAGTTATTCTGTCAAGTTCACGAGACACCTACCTTCAACAATTGGAGATAGAACAGGCAGTATGTTTTTGACATATGCTATGTACTTGTGGATGTTCTCTGGACGCTTGTATTATACTGGGTAATTAATAGTTATATAGGAAATGCCTTTTGCTCAACTTTGTTGGTTAAAAATGCTGGCATTTTCTCCTTCATCTCTACATTCATGCAGAGTCTTGCACACACTTAAAGTAGTCTCATTTTGGAACTTACTAATATTCATTCAATAGCTATGACAGCTTAGGGCATAATGTAATATGTGCTATTTATAAATGTAATGATACTGATGATACAGAATCCCATTTCAACAGGGTTTGTAGTGACCCAAATGAATACACAGGGAAGTTAAGAATATGTATACAAGTACTCATGACTAGTGAAACATGTGAAGATACACGTGTCATAAATCAAAGGCAGGTGCACACAGGATGCTCATTGTAATGTTAGTTAAAATCTTACTTTGCTTCATAGCCAAGCATTTACATGTCTTCTCAATACAGATGTGGCTGGTGGTACAAAGTAAATGGATATATCTCGAGAGTATATTTACCGGAGCGGATATCAGGTCGCAGTTACCAGAGAAAGCCAAATGCTTCGACAACATGGACAAGATGTTTAGGAAGGTACCGAACGGTTTTGGTTTTAATCCAAACTTACAGTCCTGTCACTTGTATGTACGTGGGTTGTGGGATCTTACAAGTCAATGTTTGAAGTTGCCCATTCCTGCCAATTTCAACCAGTGTAGGACAAGCCATATGCGGTTCTAGCTCTTATCATATTTTTCATCTATTAACATCTCCATCACTAAAGTGGCAGGATGGAGGCATGCATGCATATACACATGAAGAAAAATATAATATGACGACACCCGCTGATGACAAGTGTTAGACCATATCATGTAAACCCATTTTGTGCCTTGGTGTAGATCATGTTGGAGACACTAAAGGACCCACTCATAAAGCACTGCTGCCTGGCACCAAATCGGTTATCATCACTGATGAACCTGTGCGAGGGGCTGGAGAACTGCCAGAAGAGCCTCAACGACTACCTGGACTCAAAGCGCAATGCATTCCCACGCTTTTTCTTCATCTCCGATGATGAGCTGCTGAGCATCCTGGGTAGCAGCAACCCCTCCTGTGTGCAGGAGCACATGATCAAGGTACACCAGCTTCTCTGTCGCTCTGTGCATGTTGCCACACGCATATGTTTTGTTGTATGTATGTGTAGCGTGTGTAATTACTGAGACACACACACTGTTCAACAGAGGCATCTCTTAATAAACAACTCACTGATCACCGGGTTCTAATCTGTCAAGTGTGGCTATGCCTGTCCTATATTGGTTACTATGTGTGTGTGAGTTAGCTAGTGAACGGGTCTGTAGCTCACACGCTACAGAACCCACGATTTCTAGTTAACTCCACGCGACGACCAAGAGCAGACCCCTGAAGAGCTGAAGCGCGAGTCCTCTTGCATCGATCCCCCAACACGAGCCCTGAATCTCTCCGGCGCTCCCCCTTTATCCGCTGGCCGCCGCCTCTCAGCCGCCCTCGGCCCCGCCCCTCTTTGTGTCCCGACCCTAGCTCCCCGCTCCTGGTCACGTGTCCTCTCATCCTCCAAAATGGAGGCTCCCGGTGCTCAGCGCCCCTCCAGCCCTTTGGCTGGTGCAACAACATAAAGACCACATTATGTGTCTCTACCCCCCCCCCCCCCTTTATAAAAAGTCAGCCGACCCGGCTGTGAAACCCCGAACAGGAAGGAAAAAGGAGAAAAATGCACATAAAAAACTCCTCAAGTTAGGGCAAGTGGTGTTATATTACTACATATGTAGAGACCACACATTATGTGTCTACATATGTAGTAATATTACACCACTGTTCCAACAAAATGCATCCTTTGGTTTATTTCCTCAACATTTTTTATGAAACAGGACAACTGTAGATAGTAAATAAATAATAAACTTAATTAGTTAATTTACCCTGGCCTTCTGTATGCGAAACTAGGGAAACATTGCAAAAATGTATGTTGCTTTATTTTTTTACCCGGTTGTATCTCAGTGATATATGTACTTTGAGTTGGAGCAGTGGCATAGTGGTTAGCGAACTGTGCACTCAACCCAGATACCTGGGTCTAATTCCCAGCCATAGTGAACATCAGTAGCAAGCGATATCTAAATTGGTGCTGAGGTTCCCTTCACCAAACTCTTACTAACCAATGTGGTGAAGTATGGTCAAAACAACTTCCATTAACGATATGATGTGGGGAGACTATTCTTAATGACTTGACAAAGGGCTGTAAATGCATATGTACATGTAATATGATGACCATATACAAGCAAGATTATTTAGATTATTTAGCTGCTATACATTTCCACATGATGAGCCACTTCGTTGGGTTATCATTTTTGGCCAGGTCGCTTCTGAAAAAGAAGCTAATAGCTCAGTGGGCTTTACCTGGTAAAATAAAAATACTCGATTTTTTTTATTGTTTTGTGATTTTCTTATCTTCCCTATGCTTTGAACTCCTATCGTGTTATGTCTTGTCTCTTATTGTAACTTTCTGACCCGCCCCTACTGGATATCTTGAAAAAGAGCTTTATAGCTCATCGGATTCCTCCAATATAAATAAAGTTTCTGATTCTGAACTCTCACAGCTTTGACATGCCATGATCCATGTTATCCCGACTTGGCGTCATGACCCACACCCACTGATCACATGAGTATTTTGAGCGCTGAGCAGTTTTTGTATCCACATGTGTACCTTGCAGATGTACGACAACATCGCATCTCTGAGCTTCTGTACAGACAGCCATTCTGAGACACAGGTAATGGGGATGGTGTCAGCCGAGGGTGAGGTGATGAATTTCCGCCGGCCGGTGTTGGCCGAGGGTTATGTGGAGGACTGGATGACGAAAGTGCTCTATGAGATGCGGTCCACCAATAAGTTCATCACCAAGAAGGCCATCTTCACATACTGTGAGGACAAAAGCAGGTACTGGATGCCCCCACCTGCAAATGCATAATTTTTATCAGCCAACAGTGTGCTTTCTAGGATTGGGACTTAGTAACACAAATCCAGACTAGAAATGCCATTTGTTGATACAAGCTGACTTGGCCAAGGATTTAGCAATGCCATTTTGCTTAAAAAAAAAGTGAATTATGTTGTCATATCGTCGAATAACTGTTAGCAGGTAATTCATATTAGCCAAATTATGAAATTGATACCATTAATGTTTTTGCCACCGTAGGTGAAATCGATTTTAGCTAAAATCCCACGGGCTAGATCGCACAATAAGTTGCAAAATATATTTTCTCACTTGCTGAAAATGAAGATTACAGGAAGTGTGCAGGGCTCCATAACTTTATGCACATTAAGTTGTATCCATGTTTCTTCTACCGTACCTGGGCCAAGTTTAATGTTATTTGCTACAACCTTGATTATGGTTCTTTCCTTACCTGTCTAACAATACTGGAACATTTCAAGTCACAAAACAATAATACGCACAATAATTGAGACTCTGCATTTTCTCGACCATAACTACCTCAAATGTCTGCCCAGTCAGTGGTCTCTGCCTACAGATATTCAACCTGACATTTTTATGACCAAACATTCCTTTCACCCCAGTGAAATTTTCCAATTTTGGGGCTCCTCGTAGCTCCACCCAACTCCATCATATCCACCTTGTGGACTGAGGCTTGGCAAAATATGGTCCACTACTGTAGGTAATGTCCCTTCATAACTTTCAATTGGCAGAATCGGGCCAATATACCATAACAACGCAGAATGATGGCCAAAAAAGCCAAATAAATTGGGTCTTCAGTATTTTGCAATCAGTGTGTTGCATTTCCTGGTGCTTGCAGAGTGGACTGGATGCTTCCACTTCAGGGCATGGTGGTGCTGGCTGCAACCCAGGTTTGGTGGACCTGGGAGGTGGAAGATATGTTCTGTCAGATTGGCAAAGGCCAAAAGCTGGCTATGAAGAGCTATTCCACTAAGCTGCACCATCAGATCAATGAGCTGGTTTCCAGAAGCTCTCAGCCTCTCAGTGGCAACAACCGCAAGAAGTACAACACCGCACTCATCATCGACGTGCATGCCCGTGATATTGTGGACATCCTCGTAAGGGACAGGTGCGTCACAGCTTTTACTAACTTTTATTGATTTATGTGCCACAGGTCAGTTCATATGAATCTTTGCATAGTTGTACAAACCATTCTTCACTCATGCCGATGAGCAATACTGCAAGTTTAAATGGCTGAGATGTATTCTTTGGGTAAAGCCACGTAGACAGAAAAAAATAACAAAAAATATCGACGTTTCGATCGCAACACAAGTGGTCGTCTTCAGCAAAAAGGGGGGTTAGCTTCTAAAGACAACTGCTTATAAAGGTGTGAAATTGGCATAGCCCAAATGTCAGCAGCCAATGCCAATACAAGTGGTGGGCAGCGACTGCGACGGTGGTGGGCTTTCCACCAATCAGAGGGCTGCCAGGCAAAAATTAGCATGACTTAATCTTTTGTGACTGCAGGTATACATATTCTATGGGTCTTTTAGTCAAGCCACGTAGATAGAAATTTTAAAAAAATATCACGACGTTTCGATCGCAACACAAGCAATCATCTTCAGGTAGGAGAGGATACACACCTGAAGACGATTGCTTGTGTTGCGATCGAAACGTTGTGATATTTTTATTATTTTTCTATCTACATGGCTTTACCGAAAGACCCATTGAATAAAAATTAGCATGTCAATGCAGGATCGCCAAACCTTCTACACAGCGAGTGCGCCAAGGTGGCTATGTGTATGTTCAGGGTATGTGTGTGTTTTTCAACGTGAGCCAACTTACTTTCTCCACTTCGCTCCCTGTGGCCACAACAAGCCCACGCCATGCCGGACGATCTTTAGCAGCTTTCTTTATCAGCGAGCCAAACTTATTTTTTTTTAATAGTTATGTTAAACAATGTATTAAATTCACCCAGACAATCCTAGGTTTGGTGATAGACCCTTCATATCTCATGTGTTCTGGACACTTTTGTGAAATATATGCTTCTAGGGTTGTAATGATTCTCCCACCTCATGATTTGATGAATTGTCACAATTCTGGGTCATGATTGATTAGATTCAGAAATCAACTCCTTTTTAACTGTATGGTGCATTGCACGCTGTAGACATAACGTGAATGAATTACATTTTAAATATATAAATGAATAAAAATGTATACATTTTTACATGCAATTTTAATGCATGTACTGTATTACAAACATAAGAAGTGATTTTAATAGATTAATCAATGCTTCATCGTAGGCCGATACAACTTCACCGAGTACCATAGTGGAGTATTCTCTGGAATAAAATAACCTTATGTTTCTTTCGCCACATAAATCTAAAACATCCATTAGCCTTTTGTCAAAGTGGCCTTCCAGACTTATGTTTACCAGCAGCATTGTTTATGCGCACAAACACTGAATTGGTTTCACAATATTAGGGCTCATCAGTAGATTAATAAATAGACAAGAACAAAAAGTACTTCTGGCTTTAACATTTGGGCATTATCTTCTTGGTTCTTTCGGTAAAGTCACGTAGAAGGGAAGTAATAAAATAATAAAAATAAAACATAATAAAACAATTCTCACGACGTTTCGGCCACAACGCAAGCAGCCGTCCTCAGGTGAAAACCAGGTCCGTCGAGGTGACAGAGTCTGAATGAAACAGCACACGAGCTTGGAGCATATATATAAGCTGGGCGCATTGACAAAGGAATTTGCATATCAAAATGAATTTAGCATATTTATGGGAAATGCAGGAATGTGATTAGTACTGCATATGCATGTGCATTATGCAGGATTAACAGCATCAAAGGGAGCTGCAGTTACTGCTTACTACTCCCTTTGATGCTGTTAATCCTGCATAATGCACATGCATATGCAGTACTAATCACATTCCTGCATTTCCCATAAATATGCTAAATTCCTTTTGATATGCAAATTCCTTTGTCAATGCGCCCAGCTTATATATATGCTCCAAGCTCGTGTGCTGTTTCATTCAGACTCTGTCGCCTCGACGGACCTGGTTTTCACCTGAGGACGGCTGCTTGCGTTGTGGCCGAAACGTCGTGAGAATTGTTTTATTATGTTTTATTTTTATTATTTTATTACTTCCCTTCTACGTGACTTTACCGAAAGAACCAAGAAGATGAATCCCTGCAGTCACGAAAGCTTTAAATCGAAATTTGGGCATTACACAAAGTTGCTCACAACACGACACTGTATTTCCCGCCCCATTGGCAGTATTGTGGATGTGAACGAGTTTGCATGGGAGAGTCAGCTGAGGTTTTACTGGGACTGCGTTCCGGACGAGTTGACCGTGCGACAGTGCACAGGCACGTTTGGCTACGGCTACGAGTACATGGGGCTGAATGGTCGTCTGGTGATCACGCCGCTCACGGACCGCGTCTACCTCACGCTAACGCAAGTTAGTGTTTTATCATTATTTTTCCTGATTTTATAATCTCGTTTTCGCAGTGTTATCCTGATTGTGCCATCAGTGTCACGTGAAGAAGTATCTATTCAGGTTTTGGAAAAAGCAATGCAACCATTCATGTTAGAGAACAGCCCACAGAAGCAAAGCTACCTCTTTTCCACAAGGTCACTTTCGACTGAGTAATGTTCTTCGCATGACAGTCAAACATATATTTGTATATCTCTTATTTAGCCAGCTTAAGTGTAGAACCAAATTTTATATAATGGATTTTTTTGTCAACCCAGTACACGTGAGAACTTAGTTTCCTAGATTTTTTAACCCGGGAATTCAATGATGCCAGCTCAGCACTCTGGCCTTTTGAGCTATCTGGTCACCTCCTGCTTTCCCTTTGTATAAAGTCCATTATCACTGGACAGTTGCTAGATAAATTAAAAGGAATGCACTGTCAGTGGTGTTTCAGCACACACCTAAAATGCTATACTATTTTTCTTCTTGGTTCTTTCGGTAAAGTCACGTAGAAGGGAAATAATAAAATAATAAAGAGAAAACATAATAAAATACAATTCACACGACGTTTCGGCCACAACGCAAGCAGCCGCACTCAGGTGAAGAACAGGTCTGTCGGAAAGACAGCGTCTGAATACTATTGTTGTGTAGTAACTCTTGACACCCAGGAGACTTGTAGAGGAAGACGGAGACGAGGATTGTTACATCGGGCTGCTTGCCGTTTATTCACAACCTGTTACACACTCTTATACACTCTGTTTCCACTCTCTATACTCGACGCTTACACACGTCAGAACTCTGTCCTTTACGCGGACATCCCTCAGTTATCTACGCCCCGGTACGGCTTCCCCTATGTCTATCACCTCGTCTGCCCCAGGCGGGGGCTCACCCATCACCGCCCGGCGACGAGGTGAGACCTCTACATCTCTAGCCCTTCTCCGGCGGCTGGGATGTCTTCCACGCAGGCTCTCGTTCCCCTTTCTCTCACTCTCCTACGGCGACCCCCTCACTCTCCCCACGGCGACCCCGCCATCGTCCCGGGGTCCCCCTTAAGTACCCCACCGCTTTAGATGACATGATGTCATCACATCACGTCATCCCACTCGACAGATGACATGACGTCATATCACTACTCCTCTACATCTCCCCCCCCCCCCGTGAAGCAAAATCAGCCGTCTCGGCTGTCAACGTTCCCTTATAAAAAGAAACAAAACAATCTAGATGACCCCCACGACAGGCAGCAAAAAACATTTTAAAAAATAGCAACACATCATAACACTAAACCCCCAAACTAACATCCCTATAGCCACAACATAACAACACTGTAACAACAATATAACACCTCCAAAAATTTCCAAAAAGAACGTCAGCGAAGAACACAACACTTGACGGCCGACGTTGCAAAGTCCCTCGAAGCAATGTCCCGCTGTGCCTGTCACACCAACGACGCGGCTTGCACCCCCCACAAGCAGCAGGCCCATCGCGCAGTGGCGGTGCGCTCTCCTGTGTGCCGGCTCATCCCACCAGTACGAAGCAGGCGGCTCCCCAGGCTCCAGACGTTGGAGCACACCTCTTCAATTACGACGAGGGAGGCACACCCCGCTCGCAGTCACCGGGTTCCAGCAGCGACAATAACGGTCGACGGCCGAGTCGCTGCCATGCGCTAAATGGCGGGAACACCGCCACCGCAAAAATGGCGGGAACGTCGCAGCCGCGGGAATGGCGGGAACGCCACAGCGACCCGACGGCGGCCGCGTCCCCCTGCAGCTCCGCCATCGACTCACCCACACCCGGCCGCTCCCTCGACACCAGCAGCTGGTCGAGTCGGCCGGCGACGTCGCCCCAGCTCTCCATCGATGGGAGCCAGTCTGGGCCCACAGCCTCCTCCCGTGCAGGCTGCAGTCACCCTCCCCTAGGGGCACATCACCGTCGCAGGGAGAGCTCTGGTGCAGCCCTCGCCGTCCATCCGCTCTTCCGGTTGGGTCTTGCACTCCGCTGCCGGCTTTTGCACCACGCCAGCGAAGGGTTCCAGCTTCTTGAATTTAAGCAGCCAAGGTTCGACGGCCACTTCCGACACCAAATGTAGTGGGTTCGAATTAGGTGCACAAACACATTTATTAGAACGGTAAGTAAGTACATAAGGTGGTGACCACCTTCCTCAACTCACTAACACTCTGGAACACTATAGAGCCTGGCCAAGGCAGGCAACGGGCTGCCTGGTCACGGACGACGACCCGGGACTTGAGGACCGATGATGGCGTCTTCACTTCGGGGTTGAACAGCCCTGCTCTGCGTTCACACCCCGCTTATAACCGCTCCGGCGTGGCCGGCTCCGCCCAGGCCACGCCTCCCTTCCTGAACATCCGGGAAGGTCCGGATCCTCCACCACACGACCCCCCAGGCTACCCCCTGGGGCTCCTAGCCCTCGTACGGGCCGACACAGTAGTGACGTCCTATGTCACTGCACTATTTTCACCAATAGCATTGTGTATACATGTTTTACTTATAATACGCTTTTCCTTCTACTTTGAAGGATGCTAATTGCCCAAAACAATGTATTATATATTGTTTGTTGATCAGGATGTATTAATTATATTTGTAATTAAAAAAATGTTGATGATGAAGCAACTTTGCCCAGGCCCTGACAATTTTCCTGGGTGGGGCACCTGCTGGACCTGCTGGGACGGGCAAAACGGAGACGACTAAAGACCTCGCGAAAGCCCTGGGACTGCTCTGCATGGTTACCAACTGTGGCGAGGGCATGGATTACAAGGTCCTGCAATCAGACATATGAACCTCATGGCGGGACCCCGGGGTCCAGAATAAACGGAAGTCAATATCGTAATAAATGTATTTATTTTTGGCGACTCCGTCCCACCGCGCACATAAACGCCGCGACCCACCTGGCGCGGATAATTTTTTTGTCATGTCCAAGCGCAGCGAGGACGAATGCGCAGAAGAAACAAAACTTCTAAACTTTGATTAGCGCAACGTGTAGAGCTCATCGAGAGGAATAGATTGCCATATCGTTCGCCTTCAACAGACATAAATTGACGTCTCAACGCAGTTTACGTGATAGCCGGGGGCTTATGGGACCCCGGGGTCCTGCCATAAGGTTCATATCCATTTTTTTCTATTCAAATTAAAAACTAAAATATCCATTTTATTTATAATTGCACTGTTTATCAAATGCTGTTACACTTATTCTCCCTGAATCAAGAAAACATTTTACAGTGTAAAAAACATTCTTTATTGGCCCAGGAAAGTATAATAACTATCAGTATTGTCCTCTGTAGCATGTTGGGGAAATGTTGCGATATGTTTTGCTTGTGGGAAAAACCAGCTCAAGTACTTGTAAATCTCCACTTTACAAAGAATTCGACACAGCACACCAGAAACCTTCTTGATGTGTTGCCTCCTACGGATACAACATTATTACCATGCTGGTCTTATGGGGATTCCAGTTTACATTGATCAACTCCACTCCCAGGTGGCTGTATTATAGGTTGTTGCCACTACACAGTACAATTAAGGCCACCTTATGTTTTGCTGAAAATTATATGTGTTGGGTCACCATGTTTAAATTAAGAAAACAAAGTTCATGTCATTGTTTTGATGTTTCTGCTCTAGGCTATAGGAAAGATCTTTTCCGGACTGGCCCAATGCGGTGCCTGGGGCTGCTTTGATGAGTTCAACCGCATCGATGCTTCCGTGCTATCTGTCGTTTCGTCCCAGATTCAAACCATTCGAAATGCACTTATCAACCATCTCACTAAATTCCAGGTAGGCTGCAACAGCAATGACAGGCAACATAGTACGTGTCATCTTTAGTGATAAGCCACATTTTTGGCACATTCACAAAAATACAGAAGTTTGAAAATAATCAAGCAGTTTTTTTGAATTACATCTAAAATTAAAGCTACCATCACATAGCATACGTCATTATCCTTAAAGGATAACGCCACAGAGCCAGAACACACAGCATCCTTCATGAATAATGTTTCACCATTGGCAAATTGCATTATAAAATTTAATTTTCTGGGTTGTGCTGTGATTAGAGTTTGCAACTCCTAAACTTTAATAGCAAATTCAAAATAGACATTGAACTATTCACATCATGTATTGCACCCAAGCATAATTTTATATATAAGCGTGTGTATGTGTGTTCAGTTTCTGGGAAGTGGTAGTGTAGCGGTTAGAGTCCTGCACTATGAACCCAGCAGCCCAAGTTCGATTCCTGCTCATGGCCGACACCAGTGACGATTATCTGAACTGGTCCTGGGCCTCTCCTAGGTCGACTCAGCCTCAAATGAGTACCCAGTGTGGTATGTAAACATCACCACTGGGGAGACAAGGAGACCAGGCGTGGTGCTGTCCACCCACCCCCTTGCGTGCCGTGCCGGCCTTCATAGGTGCTCGCTAACAGCAATTGCCCCAGAAATCTGTTAAGGCTATACGGGGGATCTTTGTCGTTGTTTTGTCAGTTTGAGGGCAGTGCGATTTCACTGGATGCAAAGATGGGCATCTTCATCACCATGAACCTGGGCTATGCTGGCCGCACTGAGCTGCCCGAGTCTATCAAGACTTTATTCCGGCCAGTCATGGTCGTTGCGCCAGACTTGCAGCTCATCTGTGAAATAATGCTCTTCTCAGAAGGGTTCCTCATGGCAAAGGTATTTGTGTTTTTTAAGCAAAAGTTACCGAACATCAAGGTACAATCAAGGGCTTTGCCTGATGTTGCCAATGATAATTTCCTTGGCAAGAAAAACTTAAACTTCCAATACTCTTTTTTCAGTTCTGTTATACACCTAGTTCTTTGTTGACTATTGTGTCTGTGGATATTTACGTGACTAACAAGAGGGAATAAAAGCGATTATTGTAAATGGATAATTCTCAGTAGTTTGGGCAGACGGGTCAGCATTGCAATTGCTGTACCATTTTCTACCATTCACTTCATAGCTCTGCTTTGAGGATGATTCCTGCACAATCCACTGACTCAGTCTCCAAAGTGCTATATTACAGGTGTGGTCTACCGTAGGTGGCCTAAATGGGTATCAATAAGCTAATTATGTACATAGTTTTTTGTATTTACATAACAATGTCATACATGGCAGCAGCATGTGATATTCAAAACATACCTACATTCTTTCATTAATATTTTAAAATGTTCTTGTCCAGACTCTTGCCAAGAAGATGACCACGCTTTACAAACTGGCACGGGACCAGCTTTCGAAACAGAGTCACTATGACTTTGGGCTACGAACTCTCAAGTCTGTCTTGATGATGGCCGGTGATCTTAAGCGAGAGGAACCGTACCTCAGCGAGGTGACTAGAGTGATTTTAGTGTTAGTTTTGTGAACTCTGTTTTACTGCGTTAGTCAATGTTGTGTGATGGAATATAAACTCTGCCTACCTCTTTAATGTCCAGTTGACAACACCTTTTGATGAACCCACATGCATCTTTTCAAAAGTTAATCATAACTATTATTTATCAGATTATTTCAAAACAAAGACCTCACATGTAAATTTGACTGAATGTTGGTGAGCCAGGACGTGGTGCTGATGCGGGCCCTACGAGACATGAACCTGCCCAAGTTTGTGTTTGAGGACGTGCCTCTCTTCTTGGGCCTCATCTCCGACCTCTTCCCAGGCCTCGAATGCCAGCGCGTGTCGTATCCTAGCTTTGTCAAGGCCGTGGAGGAGACACTGCAAGAAAAGGGCTACTTGGTTCTTCCTGCCCAGGTTCTGATGGTTGTAGTGCTCAACAATCAGGGCTCAAGACCCCTCAAAAAAGTGTTGCAACTCACTGGGTTGATATTGGCATATGGGGAAAACACCAGTTATGTGAAGTCAGGAGGTAGAAATAGACATTTTAAACAAATTCCACCCAATAATGAAAGTTCTGGAATGTACTCTGGATTAAACCCCCCCCCCCCCCCACCAATGGCTTACCATGACATCACCATGAGACGTAAACGACGAAGTGGTAGATCATTGTGTTGTTTCCCCCTACGTGATTAGTGGTATTTTATAAGAAGTGGACCTTAACAAGCACCCTCCTGGAAAAAAGTATTTTGAAGATTCATTGGGGCCTCTTTGTACAAGTCAAAATTGTATGATGAGCCACCTCATGGCTGACTTTGCCAAGAAAATTATTTCTGACTTTGCTAGTGTACACCGATTTTGGCAATATTTGGACCACAACACTGACACAGCAGATTTATCTTATAAAATATGACATCACAGGTTTTTTTTTATCCGCCAATGTCGGTTTCTACAACGTGCCTATAAAATATAAACATTCTATTGTAAATTTAAAGCATTTGCATATTTAATGTTATTTATAAAAAAATTATTGAGACATTATCCTGATATCCTCCCCAATTGTAATCATACATAATCCCTATCAATAGTTGCAGATGCGTGGATATGATTTGTATATTAAGGGAAGGCATGTGGCAATGGGAGCTTGTGTCATGATGCAAAAGGGCCTCGTGAAAATTGTTCCATTACAGTATTATTTATTTAAAAAAATTGTTGTGGAGTCATGTGTACAATATATTTACAGTTTTGATTTAAAGAGGTTTTGATTGTCGGCCATGCAGGTGGACAAGGTGGTGCAGTTGTATGAAACCATGATGACTCGCCACACCTCTGTAGTGGTAGGCCCTACTGGTGGTGGGAAATCTGTGGTCATCAACACCCTGTGCCAAGCACAGACCAGGTCAGCATTTGTGTCTCAAAAGTGCCACACTCACAAATTATGAGACGCTTGTAGCAAGGAAATTTTACATTGTGATCATTTCACACAAAGTACACAAATTAATTCTTAAACACAAAATTTTATGCAAGCATCTTGACCTTAAGCATTGTCGATTAATTTATTCATGACAACTCTACTCTTTACTCTGTTTCTCTCTGGAATCAATGGAATGCTGTCTCCTGCGTATGTGTACAGACTTGGCCTGTTCACAAGGCTCTACACACTGAACCCAAAGGCAATGAGCGTGGTCGAGTTGTATGGTGTTCTGGAGCCTGGCACGCAGCAATGGACCGATGGTATCCTCTCGAGCATCTTCCGGAATATCAACAAGCCTACGGACAGGCAGGAACGCAGGTCACTATGCCTGCAAAGTCTCCGCTTGAAAAGAGAGCATGACAAGGAAGTTGATGACTTATGAGCTTGGGTGTACATGTACAGATTAAATATACTTTTATCACCATCATCATTGATAGCATTGGCATATAACTGATAAAAACAGGGTTTTGTGATATATTTAGCCTGTGATATATTGTACTGTTTCCAGGGCAGTTAATCCTGTAAAGATTTAGATTTGAATATCGAAGCGTGATGCTCTTGGCTTTTTGAAACTTGTCATTGCAAAATTTGAAATTGTGTTTGTGTGAAATCTTTGCAACCGATACATTTTTGAGACAAAAGGCAAAGTGTCGAGATCTTCGATTTATTTCAATGAAGGACATTTTCTGCTCAAGAGAGTAATGTGGTGGTTGCAAAGCTCTGTTAATGACCTTGAGTCAGTTGTAGAAATCCCGCATGTCAGTGGCCACTTAATTTTGGAGACAGTAAAACATGCTGATGTTATTTAACCTGGTGGCAGGTACATTTTGTTTGATGGTGACGTGGATCCCCTATGGGTGGAAAACATGAACTCTGTGATGGACGACAACAAGCTGCTCACGCTTGCTAACGGCGAACGCATTCACCTTCAGCCGTATTGTGCCATGCTTCTGGAAGTCAGTGTTTTTGTATTTTGTTTATTGTAATTAGTTTCATGATGCGTGCACATCCACCCACTGGAAAAGCATTTAATGTAATTAAATTAGTGTTTTGGTCACGATATGTTTCATTGAGTTTGAAGAGTTTTTTCAGGGCAGTCGTTTATTCCCATGTTTGCCTAAATCCCTGAGTGTTTTGTTTTGGAGAAAACTAGAGTTACCAGATAAAACCCACAGATGTTAAGGCACAACAGTCCAATTACACACAGATCACAAAATTACTTACTATACTGCTACTGCCAGGCTTCAAATTATTGCCCTGAATGTGGATGTCCCATGTATGTTTTACCTCTACACAATACACCAACTCATTTAAGGTATTATGTTTTGTTTTACCATAAAGTTTAAACACCCAATGTTATGGGTCTGTTCACGTGAGCATTGGAAGGATGTGTCTAATTAAATTATCTGTCTCTAAGTGCAGTTTAAAGACTGGAACAGTGCAAATTCTTTATTTTCTGATGAGAGGGAATTCCAAAGTTATGACACCACACCTAATACTTTTGCACTGTGATTTTACCATTCACACTCTGGCAAGGGGAATTTGATCTTGTTTCTTAAACACATGACTTTGTCATACGTTCACAAAATAGGTTCTGTGTTTATATTGTGTGTCCCTGCGTTGCCCTGCTTTAGGTTGGGAATCTAGATTATTCGTCACCTTCTACAGTGTCGCGGTGTGGAGTGGTGTACGTTGACCCCAAAAACCTACAGCATTTACCCTACTGGAAAAAGTGGCTTAAGAAGTGGCATCAGGTGGGTGTATGTATTACACGTGTTTGGTGTGACATGAGTTTTTTCTTGGTTGTCCAAGACAATGGACGAAATAACAAATGGAACTCGCTTTCTGCAGAAAATACAAGAGAGCCTGGAGGTGTTATTTCTCAAGTACGTCCCAGTGTGTATGCAAATGATCGTGGAAGGAATTGTGAACGGGACCCAGGAAGTCAAGCCCAAAACCATGGTGCCCCAGACGGACCTGAACATGGTAGGTGGGCCGCCTGGCAGAGAGCAAAAATATTCTAAGAAAGACCGAGTTTCTTAAATTGTTAATTTAACAACTAATCATTGCAATATTTTTTTTAACTGTATCACCTGATGTGGGGTGTCCAAAAATATTGGTTCACTTCGAATGATAGACTTTTAAAAATGTAACTATTGTTCCAAACTCAAAAACAACTTAACATTTCTCAATACCTGCATCCCTGGAGGTCACAGGCTAGGAATATCGGGTGTAAAATGTCAAAGCATTGGAATATGATGATGTGCCACACTGCGCTATAAATCTCTACCCAGGTTGTGCAACTGTGCATGATGCTGGATGCACTGCTGGAGTTGGCTGGAGAAGACAGCTCAATGCTCGAGTGTTATTTTCTAGAGGCTCTCTTTTGCTCCCTGGGAGCAACTCTTCTAGAGGAAGACAGAATCAGATTTGACAAATTAGTGAAAAAAATCTCAGGCATGCGCCTAGTGTCTGAGCAAGGCAGAGTGGTAGGACCTGATGAACTTCCTGGTAATACAATGCCTCATCACTCATGTTCATCTTGATGACCTTTATATCACGTTACATAGTTAAATATATTTCTTAATGAATTTAGAAAAATATGTTTACAAATGCCATTTTATGTTACCTGGTGATATGTCTTGAAAAGTTTAATTTTATTATTCTGTTGACAGTAATGAAACCACTTCGATTGTAGTCACGTGTTTGTGATGCTTCACAATCCATATGAATGTTGCTGTTGCTCTGTTAGGTCAGTGCCCTACGCTCTATGATTTCCATTTTGATGAAGAAAGCAAACATTGGGTGAGCTGGGCCAATCGAGTGCCCCAGTACATGCCCAGGCCCGAAGTCAGATTCGGCGACATTCTTGGTGAGTGCTGTGACTCACGTGCTGCTCTATGTTTGCAAAATTAGCTGGTGATACATTTTGCAGCTGGTCATTACGTTTTTTGTATGTTTCTCTCATCTGCTCAAATAGTTCCCACAGTGGATACTTTGCGGATCACGTGGCTTCTCGAGCAGATGGTCAAGATTAAACGCCCTGCGCTGCTGGTCGGGGAATCTGGCACCTCCAAAACAGTCATCACACACAACTTTCTCAAGGACCTCAATAAAGAAACCACTGTAAGGGTCCGTTTCTAACACAATAGTAACAAAACACTATTTTTATGTCATCTGTAAGCAGAACTAAAAAAATGTGTTACTATTTTCAGATTGTGCTTAAAATGACCTTCTCATCTTGCACCACATCAATGGATGTTCAACGAAACTTGGAAGCCAATATCGAAAAAATAACAAGGGACACGTTCAGCCCACCGTTGGGCAAGAGACTGCTCATGTTCATAGATGATATGAACATGCCTCGGGTGAGAATTGTCACAGCACTTTTAATTCCATGGCTTGAAGTCATGCTGTTTGTACTCTCACCGCTTGCAAAGTTTCATACCATCGAAGTGAGTGCCAGCATTTCCAGAAGCCCCTGCTAATTTGAATGATATTTTACTTGCCAGGTGGATGAGTATGGAACACAGCAGCCAATCGCATTGCTAAAGTTTTTGTTGGAGAAGGGCGGAATGTACAACCGTGGGCAGGGGATAAACTACAAGAACGTGAAAAACCTGGACTTCCTGGCTGCGATGGGCAAGGCTGGAGGAGGCCGCAATGAAGTGGACCCGCGCTTTACGTCCCTCGTCTCCACCTTCATTGTCACTTTCCCAAAAGAGGAGTCACTGCACCATATCTACGCTTCTATCTTAAAATGCCACACAACGGTAAGCCAGAGCGGACTTCGAATGAAGCTAACCATGATTCCCAAATGTTTCGGCGGTGTGGTGGTTTTGTGCACCTGTAACCCAATGCTTTGTAATGGGAGGGGTGGGGTGTTGATGCAGGGCAGTGGGGTAGACTGCACAATACAGTAGAGCAAGTGGGTTGTTTTACAACCTGGGTAGATTTTTGAGCAATCTCCTTTCATATGTCTGGATTTTCACTTGGAATGTTTTTTTTTCTCACTTATGAAAACATTCAGTAAGGAAATGGTTAAACATCCTCGACCAGGCCCTGCTAGGAAGGGTTTTCGTGCTAGATAGTTTTGCTGGGTAGTGAACTATCATTGAGATTTTTCACATTTCAATTTGACAATGTTGAACTGGTTGATAAACCTTTTTTGTGTCCTGTCGTACCATTTTACCCCAAGACATTTTCAGACGAGGTGCAGTCATTGTGTGAGAAGATTACTGCTTGCACGCTCAAGCTGTATAACAACGTCGTTCACAACCTTCCACCAACCCCCTCGAAGTTCCATTATATTTTCAATCTGCGAGACCTCTCCAGAGTCTACAGTGGCTTGTGTCTCACCACACCTGAAAGGTGGCCATATGTCTTTTGTTCATGTGTGCTGTTAGATCACTTTATAAAAACCACTGAAAGTTCCATTCCATTTTGCATAAAATGATACAACTTTGTCATGCACTAAAATTAGATGTAAAAAGTATCTCTCTCCGCATTCAAAACATGTTTTTGTTCTATCAACATTTGGACTTTCTGAACAAATGTTTTTCAGCAGCATTCATTTCAGCAATTAAATTCTTTGTTGGTTTTGACTATCTGACTCATCAGCAGTCAACCCTGTTAAGTGATTCTGTGCTGCCAGAGGCTATATAGGTTCATAGACTGACAAAATGTTTGCATATATTTTATATGGAAAGGCATCATTATCTGTTCATTTATTATTGCATTTTCCACAATCCTTCATGGCCATGCATAACGAGTTTGGTATAATTTAGCTGTTTTGCTCTGAATGGGTCCCACAGTGTTGGTGGATAACTATATTAGCAGATGAGATTTCCTACCCGTAAAATCAATAAAACTTCCCTGATTTCAAAATTTACTCATAAGTAAGTGTCCTTCACATTTGTCATACAAGAGAAATATTACTCTATATGAGTATATGTTAAGCTCCAAACCATGTTTGGGTGTGTTGAATTGTGCTGAACATTTTTATTGTTTCAGATTCACCATGAAAGCGCAGTTTGTAAGAGTCTGGAGAAACGAGTGCCTTCGTGTTTTCCATGACCGGCTTATAAACAAAACTGACCAAGCACTTGTAAGTCATGTGTACTTTTGAACACAAAACAGTATTTATAAACAATCATATTTTGCTAGTCATTGTTTATTAAAAGCGCGTTTACAGTCGTTTGCCAATTTACTAATTTTAGATGGAGGTTATTTCACCGTGCCTCACCATTTTTCAGGTTCAGCGCAGTATACAGGAACTGATCACGGAACACTTACCAACTGAGTTGGACTACGCAACACGTGACCCCATTTTGTTTGGTGATTACAATACAGCACCGGGAGGGGCTGAGAGCCGTGTGTACGAGGACGTCAAAGATTACAATACAGCAAGGATACTACTCCAGGTGAAAATGACGGCTCTCTCTGGCAGCTCTCTTAATTTATCTGCTTATGCGGAGGTCTAAATTCAAGTTTTCTCCACACTATCTGATCTTGCGCTATTTTTAATTTCCCTATACGGCCCCCGTTTCTTCCTGTTGTCGAGCAGCACCTTCCTTTTCTACGTATTGGACTTTTTCTAAGATCCTAGAGCTTCTTTCAGCAAGCCTTCGGCTCTGACAGCATTCCAAATCCATATCGTTTTCCCCCTTTTGACTTGTTTGAATTAGGTGTGTCCTGAACCCTCCTGGACTTCCTCGTAACTCTTTCTCTCTGTCCAACTGATTTTCTCCCATTCAACGTCGCACAAACATCGCAAAACTTTACCATCTTCTGATGGTTTTGTCAAAACTCCAGCAATGTAATGGTTTATTTCCTTATGCATTCAAATTTATAATGTATGCATATTTATAAAATACCTACTTAAGTTTAGGAAATAGGTAGCACCGTTGATTATTTTTAGAAACATGTTGGGGTATTCACCACTCTGAAACTGGAAGTTATATCTCAAGTCTCCTAAACTAATTTACTGAGACACCTTATGATAAGAAATACAAATTATAACTGGGGACCTCACCTGGCAGCTGTGGACCACCAGATGCACAATATGTAGCAGCTATAATACTTTGTCCCTCTTCATGAAAGACCTGCCAGCCAATCACTCCTGGGGCATAGATCTGATACATGTCACAGCAGTGCAACAATGTAGGTATGCACACTAAGTCTGCATTGTTAAAGAATGTTAAAGCTAAGAGCACCACCAAATGCTTTGACAAGTTTCCTTTGAGGGATAGGAACTTTTGTGACCCCACATTACGTGCGTGCCATTCCCTTGAAAGGAGGTACTGGAGGACTACAACGAGAAGAATATGACGGCGATGAACCTCGTCCTGTTTGACTATGCCGTGGAGCACACGACACGCATCCACCGCATCTTGCGAATTGACGGTGGTCACGGCCTGCTGGTCGGGGTTGAAGGCTCGGGGAAGCACTCGCTCACACGCCTCGCCGCCTACACCGCCGGCTACGAGGTACACAGTGCTGCCTGCACATGCTCGCAATGGTAATCGTCATCATTCCTATCACCTGGCATAAAGACCTCATTAATATAATGTTGAGGCTTTGCAAATCGTCGCTCACTCATGACAACCACTGGGGCACACCAACATTTATTTAACAGGTGAGACGTTTCAACTACACCAAGGAAATTATAATTTCAAATTTCTACCATTATGATAAGGCTATATCAAGTATTAAGCTGCTATACATTTTAACATGATGAGCCACTTCGTTGGGTTATCATTTTTGGCCAGGTCGCTTCTGAAAAAGAAGCTAATAGCTCAGTGGGCCTTACCTGGTAAAATAAAAACATGTTTATAATTTCTAAATTCATTGGGAGTGTGGGAGGGGGACAGGGTGAACGGTTATGTTTACACAAGGCTTAATTTCTCGCTGAATATTTTCCGTGTCACTGAAAACGAGGTCAGCTCTGTGACTAGTCACAGCCATGGCGAGATGTATCCTGGACGTGGTGCACTAAGTGCAGAAATAGTTTCTAGGTCAATGAGCAGTGAACACCACCACAATAATGTCACATTCACACTTGCACAGACATGCACGTTGAAAGACGCACACTCGCCTTGTGCTTGAAAATACAACTTTGACTCTCAATACACATTCATGCCTCACCCTCTACTCTCTACTCAAGCTTACCTTTGCAAATTCACAGGTCAATCTGCACCCCCACTGAGTTCTGGGTCTTTATAAGACAATAATGATATTGGGGAATTTCAGTCGAATGATCACTGCAATATCCTTGCTATATTCTATGGTTCTTTCGGTAAAGTCACGTAGATAGAAAATAAAATAAAAATAATAAAAATATAAAAAACAAAAAACTCGCGACGTTTCGATCGCAACACAAGCAGTCATCAGGCGGAGAGAAAAAAGGGGGGGCAAGCCTCTAACTGCAACTGCTTATAAAGGTCTTAAATGGGCGCAAGAGCAGTGGAACAGCATGAATAGACGAGCTAAAGCTGTGAGTGGGCGAGGCACAAGAGTCGTGGTGCTGAGCTCGTTCGGCGTAGTCCAAGTGTGTCAGCAACATGGGCGGGGCAGCTAATGTTAATGTAGGAGAAGACAAAGGGAGAGAGAGAAGGGAAAGAGAAGGGGTAGAGGTAGAGAGAGGGGGGAGAGATAGGGGGAGAGTGAAGGAGGGTAGAGACAGGGGGAGAGTGAGAGAGAGAGGAGGGTAGAGACAGGGGGAGAGAGAGAGAGGGGGGGGGGGTAGAGACAGGGGGAGAGAGAGGAGGGTAGAGACAGGGGGAGAGAGAGAGGGGAGGGGAGATAGGGAGAAAGAAGGGGGTAGTGATAGAGGGAGAGGTGGGGGGGGAGAGATTTTTATTAAATTTTCTATCTACGTGACTTTACCGAAAGAACCATAGAATATGAATTCCTGCAGTCACGAAAGTTTTAAGTCAAAATTTATCCTTGCTATAATCAAAACATATCATTAAACACATTCTGTTCATGCGAATATATTTTATTTGCCTAAATAAATAAATAAAGCTGCTGATCAACATGAGTCAAGTTTGGCCAATAGCCCAATAGACTTATTTATCATAATTTTTTGTTGTGGAGATAGGGTCCCAACTTGTTGTCATGAATATTCATATTTATATCCACTCTGCCTGTGTTAAAATTTTCTTTTGTAAACGTGCGGTACTTATCAGATGTTTGAGATCAAGCTAACACGGGGATATGAAGAAAAGCATTTTCGGGAAGACTTGAAAGTGCTGTACACAAAACTAGGCATCGACAACAAGAAGATTGTCTTCCTGTTCACTGATGCACATGTAGCCAAAGAGAGCTTTTTGGAGATCGTCAACAACATGCTGACATGTGGTCAGTGCTCATTACCGACACATTACTGCTCGGTTTGTTGAATAAAACATTGACTCAAGTCAATTGTTCATTGCTACGAGTTAAGTGTGTCCATTGCGAAAGACAATGCTTGTGATTCCTCCTTTAAGGTGTGGTGCCAGCACTATTTTTGGACGATGAGAGAGAGAATATTGTGAACCAGATTCGGGACGAGGCAACGAGTGCGGGCTTTGGGCTGTCCAAGGCAAGCATCTGGCAGTACTTCAACGAAAAGAGTGCCAGCAATCTCCACGTGGTGTTGAGCATGTCTCCCGTCGGAGATACTCTCAGGACAAGATGTAGAAACTTCCCTGGCAAGTGAATTATCTCAATCTTCTACTGCTGAGCTGCAACTTGCGGAATTAATATGATTATGGTTCCTGTGTTTAAGTTGATTTGCACCCTTCTGCAGCAGGTTTTAAAGTGGACGCTTTTTACTTTGCAGGTATCGTGAACAACACAGGTATAAATTGGCTATTTCAATGGCCAATTGATGCACTAAATGAAGTTGCAGAGACATTTTTAGGTAAGATTATTTACAAATACACATTAAGAATTTCTATGACATAAAGTAACTGCTTAGAAACTAAAGTTCTGAAAACCAAAAATAGTTTTTTTGGCAAGTTTTTTATTTTATGTTCATTTTCTATGGGCATTCAATTTATTTCTACATGTCAATACTCAGCGACTGGTCAAATATCTCGAAATGATCCTCTGAAAATCATCTTAAGGATCCAGTGATGCTTTACTGAGTAAATAGCCCCAGATGCATAGTATTAAATGGTCAAAGTACTATTGCATGTACATTTTTGTCATGTATTAGGTAAATGATCATATGTTTATATTTTATAGAGATGTTTGTCTTGCACATGGCTATATACAGTACATGTTTGTATTTTATTTGTACTGTATTCTACTGTTTCTGAATGCCCATTCTGTACTTGTTTACATTTGATAGTTTTTACTTTCTCCTTTAAACGAATATAACCAGAATTTTGCCTCCTTGTATTTCTCATGTTGCATCTAAATTAACGCAACAAATTTTTCTCATTTTGAAAAAAATTCAAAGGATTATTGTTTATAGCAGAATTCTATGTAAAGATGAGTTTTTATTCCATTAGGAAAGAACCCCATGATTCCCAGCAACTACACAGAGGCTCTCATCAACCACATAGTTGTGGTCCACAAATCTGTGAAATCCTACACTGAGAAGTTTAAACAAGAACTCAGACGCGAGAATTATGTAACACCCAAGAATTTTATGGATTTCATCCATAACTATATAAGGCTGCTTCAGGAAAAGGACATGTCCATAAAGAGTGAGCTGCACATTTCTGTACAAAAAACTAAACTACTATAATCTTTCCTGGCCGCCAGGCAGCCGAACTTTTGTGTAATATAGCATGATAGTATGATGAAAGTATGATAGCATATCCCACGCATTTGTGCGGGATCCACGGGCAGGATAAAGGGTGGGGGGGGGGAAGGCGTAACGTCAGTGCAACACACGGATCTGGCTCAATGCTGTGGGATGCGGGTGACGTCTTCACACAGATGTGCGCGGTGATGTCACCATCACGCACCTGCTCACCAGACATCCAGACAGACAGGAATCCAGGCTGAAATCCAGCCAGTAAAACTTGTATCTAATACAGTATAAAAGCCTAGTTAATTCACCAATTTATATTTAAGGATCCCATAGCGCTCAATGAAAATGCTCACATTTGTGTGCTAAAGATGTGACTAAAATAATTATCTTCACAAGCTCCTTGTGAAAGAGCCACACATTGTAATATTGTAGATCTATTCAAATATATGTATATTTTAACCATGAACTTTGAAAACCAAAAATATACTGAAAACTTTTTTTATGCACGTCAGCTTAGAGCTTTGCACGAATAAATGTGCTGATTAAATGCGAGGGCCTCTTTTAACTGAAAGCTGCCGTTGTGTAAGAGTTTTGTATAATTTCCCACTGCAGCCCAATCCAGACGCCTGGAGGTTGGGCTAGAAAAGCTGCAGGAGGCCAGTGTGCAGCTGGTGGAGCTGAACGAGAGGCTGGCCTTCCAGAGGGTGATTGTAGCCGAAAAGTCCACAGCGTGTAAGCTGCTCTTGGAGGAGATTGTTGCCAGTACTGTGGACGGTAAGTGCTCAGTTCAAGTATGTACGTATTTTTAGCTTCTTTCGGACCGTAGGTAGCCAAACGTGCTAATCGGAGGTGGGGAAGGAGAAACAGCTAAAACAAAAAAAGCAGTTCTAAGGAAATGAGTTTTCTATCTAGATTTAAAAGTGCATAGCTCCAGTTGTTTCCTAATATCGGAAGGAAGAGCATGCCAGACAACCGCAGAAGCGCGGGTATGTATTGAGGAGCAAAGCTTATATTTCAAATATGTTTTTGCTGAAATTTCACTTTGGAAGAATGTGAATTGGAATATCTCCATTGGGGTGAAATGGTCATCAGCTGTAGTGACTTCTGGTAGCTTTGAGTGACCAATGAATGCACACAACAACAAGGTGATGTCTGCAAGAAGCAGTGCGGTAGACAAATTGTGAATCCCTGCAGTCACGAAAGCTTTAAATCGAAATTTAAATTGTGAATCAATTTGTATGTTTGTGGATCACAACAGTGAATGAGAAGAGACTGTTAGTAGAGGCGAAGGTGCAGGAGATTGAGGATCAGAACTTGATGATTTCCAAGGAAAAGAAGGAGGCAGAGGAAGCCCTTGCAGCAGCTATGCCTGTATTGGAGGCTGCTCGGAAAGCCCTGCAGGAACTCGACAAGTCAGACGTCACTGAGATAAGGCATGCCTCACATTGGTGCCCAACACCTCATCCTAATTTTATTTGTTATCTTTAGGTTGGCCTTGTACTCTTCTTCTGACAGGGATAACTGATGGAAAGAGGCAGTAACAGCAGTAATGTCTCAATGACCACAAGTCATGGAACTGACCGACACTCACTGAGAGCATGTTCTTTTTTTCACATTTCACGTAGGCTTTTTTCAATGTGTACAGCACACATACCCATGAGTTTCTTCATATAATATTTTTGGTGCGTTATTTTTTTGTCTTCATATGGACAACGAAGAGAAACTATTATAGATGAATGTGTAAGCGATTTAACCAATCAATTGCTTTGTCTGAGAGTTGGTAAATTTCAAATATGCCGCTTTTAAAATTATATTTTGGGCAGTGCAAAGTTACGTGGACCATAGCTTGGAGTTCGTAGCCTCAGTCACACACAGCAGAGCAATAAAGGACGAGCTTCATATTTTGGATGACTTTGTCATCTTAAGGGTTATTATGGAGTAAATTATTGTTCAGAAATATAATTTACTGTAAACCATACGTGTACTTAAAATGGTCAATTGGCAGAAAAAAATACTCACAGATAATACCTAGCTGGAGACTGGAATCTTTGTCTAGATCATCGCCGAATATCCTCTCGCGTGTCGGTGGTACAGGTCTTTTGTGAAGCCGCCCAAGCAGGTGCAGACGGTGTGCGAGTGCATTCTGGTGATGCAGGCCTATAAGGATATCAGCTGGAAGTCTGCCAGGTCCATGATGTCAGATACAAGTTTCCTGCGCACACTCATGGAGATGGACTGTGACGCTATCACACCCAGCCAGGTCAAAACTATCCGAGGTACCGTCCCATTGACACGTTAAACAAGTTAAATATTTAATAAAAAAAATATTAAATTGACAAAGTGCAGGCAACAAAATTATGAAAAATTATTGTTATGTGGATGCAGCCATGGTAATAGGCCTTACATTGGTATAATTTGAAATGTTTACCTGATAAAGACCCTTGAGTCTTCAAGGCTCATTTTCAATAGAGTCATACTTGACATCATTTGGCAGATTATTTATGTGGGAGGACCAAGAGAATATCCATACATATAGTCTGAAAGGAGAACACCACGTTTCACACAGATAGGTTAAATCGTTTTTTTGGTACAGGTAAAACACCTACATACTAATGTTCAATGAGGACCTGGTTGCACCATAGAAACCCGGTGACAGAAGGGGGGGGGGGGTAAAATGTACTCATTAAAATTAAGTCAAAAACACGAATAGGCCCACGATCGGCAGGACCTGGACCGTTTTTTTTTCATGAAATCTTAAATTGTCACGCGAGACGAGTCTGTAGAAAAATTTCAGCTGGTTAGGCTTCGTAGATCTGAAGATATTAAGTGTCAACGATTCCAAAGAATATAAGCAGACAACAAGGCGAGTTCAATAAAAGTGTGTAAAAAACAATTGTAAATGGTACGAGTATAGGTTTGAACTTGTCCTCTCCAATGCCCCCTGCAGACAACACCTCATCCTGTAAGTGGTTATCTCATGCACATCATCATCACAGCTCTTGCTAGGAATGATGGTTCCCTGCATGATGTGACAAACCTACCGCACAGTATATGGATTGAATCAATGTATTAGCATCACGTCTGAATTAACCTCTATTACATTGGTTCTGAATGTTTTTCTTAAAATAATTATGTTAAATAAGAGAGAGCCCTAAGAGCATACATGGATGGCCTAGGCTCCCACGCTCAGGGGTTCGCCAAATTTCATACAAGAGATAAGTATATAGTTTAGATTGTCTAGTGCACGCACGTGTAGGAAACATGGAGGCACCTTGCCTGTTCGTCATCATCTGCGGCAGAAGCCCTGGGAAATGATTGCCAGGCAAGGAGGGGAGACCGGGGGATAAAAGGGGAGGGAGAAGTAGGGGAGTTCTGAATGTGGCGTTGCGGAAGCGTGTGTTACCTGCTGTACGACTGGCTGCGTTACCTGTGGGCCATCAACAAGGAAGGAAACCTTTGCTGAACACAGCGTGAGCTGAATCCCTTCACACCCAAATCAGCACTGCGTAAGCCCCCTTGACCATACCCCACATGACTACCGCCGTGAAGTAAATTATCTCATGTACCCCTGAGAGATGTCACACGTGTACCTCCAGATACATGTACCACAGGATGGGTAACATTGCTCCGAATAATTATTTTAAAAAAACTGAAACCTACAGTTGCAGGCCCACACTGAGGAGTAAGACTGGGCTAGGGTGAGCAGGGTTTCCTTACCAATTTCCCTCTGCTGTTGCATATATGTAGCCACTGAAAAAAGTAATGCATAATGATTCTTTAACATGTAGGGTTTGCGACTAATATGATTAATAATTGTTTTTTGGGTTATATTTCGTAAATATAAGTACGCCACCATTTTAGCTTCATACTTGCACAGTCTAACAAAAAACAATTCTTAATCATAATGATTCTGTAAATTCTGCTGCAGGTTTGATGAAATTGACAGCCTATGAGGAAATGGTGGCCGTCAGCAGGGCGGGCGCTGGCATGCTGAAGTTTGTAGAGGCTGTTATGGGCTACTGCGATGTCGCACGTGACATTAAGCCCAAACGGGAGAAGGTAACATAAAACAAAATTAGTTTGTAGCTTTTTGGAGAATTAATATATTCACATGTATTTGTGTTTGACATAATATAGTTAGAGACTACTTCATGGTGAAAGGTCATGTATGTTAATCTTATTTTGCACCGTACGTAGCCAACCGTGCATACTCCCTTAAGTGTTGATATTGTCACTGTGACACCTGCACCTGAAGTTACCTTCATGTTTTATATCTTTTTATATGCTCAATTGTACTGTGTGTTGCTGGCCGAGTGGCATTTTAGGCATGTGCGCCTGTAGCAACTGTGATTTTAAATAATTACATTTTTAAACTATGCAAATCCTAACTGCACCACTTCGTGTTGCATTGTATACTAATTAAAACACAAGCAATCACTTGAAAATATACGTGCCCACTAACATGTAGCCTTGCACGGTTTGTTGACGCAGGCAGCCAAGCTGGAGCGGAATTACCACCAGAGTAAACGGGAACTGGGCAAAATTCAGCAAGAGTTTGCATCACTGCAAGCCTTGGGGGCGACACTGATGAAAAAGTACGAGGAGGCGATGATCGAAAAACAGCAGCTTCAGTCAGAGACTGAGATCATGGAGCGCCAGCTCATCGCAGTGGACAAACTTTTTGCTGGCTTTGGTTCTGAGAATATCAGGTGTGTTGATAGAGCTGTTTACATGAATGAAATATCAATTAAACGAAAAATTGAAAATAAAAATATAATTCCCACTCCAATTGCAGAGTTCATATGGAGGAAATTTCCCTTTGATTTGACCCCTGTGACTGTGACCCTCATGGTCAATCTTGGAGTTCCCAGCTCCAAAATCGGATGTTACAAGAATAAAACTCAATTTCAACATTTGTTCAGTGAAAGTTGAACATTTGAGGTGGCCATGTGGCTCAGCAGTCATTGCTAAAGCTCTGGGTTTGAATCTGGGTTCAGCACAAAAAATCACGTTAATTTATGGTTATTTTATTTAGATTCCTTCAGATCTGAGACTTGAAAATTGTCTGATTGAAATGGAATGAATAATCTGTGTAGATCATTCCAAGTGTGGTCATATTATGGATAAAGATATATTTAAGTCACTTAAGTAGTTCTGTGATATTTTGCAGTACCATTCTCTTTAGACAAGGTCATTGCTAGTTTCAATATTGTGAATGTAATTTTTTTCATCTCACAATTGGAATAAAATTGTGAATAAGAAATGAAGAGATGAATGACTGATGCTGGCGAACAGGTGGGCTGCGGAACTGGACGAGCTCCAGACACGTCGGCTGAGGCTCCTGGGAGACTGTCTTATCTGCGCGGCCTTCCTCAGCTACGAAGCCACCTTCAGCTTGAACTTCCGCAACGCCATGGTATACGAGGAGTGGCAGAGCGACATCCTGTTGCGAAACATCCCTCTGAGCCAGCCCTTCCGCCTCGAGGCTCTGCTCTCTGACGACGTGGAGATAAGCAGGCAAGGGAAAGCCGATTTCAGTATCGCAGAAGTGGTTTGCATCCGGCATCACCACAGCACCATAGTACACCTTTAACAAAGTTAGTAGCAGTTGAATGTAAGTAACTGCACACAATTGTGAGACAAGTAAAAACAATCTGTTGAGACAACTGGAAATGTGGTTTTATTCGCAATGGTGTCCTCGCTTAAATCACAAGTTTGATTTCAAATGTCTCCAGGTTAAATAAAGCATCAGTAACACATCACAATAACAATAACACTGGAAACTAATGTGAAATTGTACATGAATATAATAAAAAATCGCAAGTAATCGTGTTGAAGACAGTACAGCTATTGTGTGGAGTTTGAATATGCTTTACTGAAACGTGTGGCCCCATTATGAGCACTCCACTTAACTCCTCTACGTACAATGTTTTAAAAGCAATTGGATAAATATTCCTAGCTGTGAACCTCCCTGAAAAAGTATTTCAGCACTTGGCATGGCTATCCTAGCTAAATAGAATTGTGATGGCAGTGGCTTCGTCAAACATGCAACAATGCATTCCATACATTGTTGCAGTCTCTGAAAAGTTTATATTTCTATTGAATTTTAATGACAGTATTAATCTACTTACACGTGTTCTCTGAAACTGCAAAACTTTAAATGGAGTTTATTACCCCACCACACTAGAGACATGAGCGTGCAAATGCAACAAACACTTTTGTCCCCAGATGGCGCTCAGAGGGCCTCCCATCAGATGAGATGTCCGTGCAGAATGGAATCCTGACGGTGCAGGCCTACCGCACGCCGCTCTGTATCGATCCCCAGCAGCAGGCGCTCAAATGGATCAAGAGAAAGGAAGAGAAGAACCAAATGAGGGCAAGTCAGATTTATATCATGTACACGAGTAATAGGATCAAATCTTGCAGCATGCGTCGCGTCACAGAGTGATCTTCTCACTTGTAAACATTATTGGTGGCAGCAACAGCATCTCACGTCACGATATTTGGTGGTGGTCATCCTCTCAGATGTGATCCCTCTTTTGACTCTCATCTCATCACTAGTCTTGTGCCTCAATCACCATTTAATATAGCTATGTGTCCTGCTCAAGCTCATGTTATTATTATGATACATGTGTTGATCTTTTTTTATTTCAATATAATTTCCAGCACCAATATCTCCACACAGTTTCCTTTTGAGCTTTTGTTCCATTTTCTTTGTGAGTGTCTGTTTCCAATCCATATCATAGCATGTAATACACTTGAAAACTTTACTCTTTAGGCACACTGGCCTGCTGATTTTCATTCTCTTATTCAATTTCGATAAGCACACCAACCTGCTATCGCTCACCTCTCTATATTATCATTTTCTTCTGGTCCACCTTCAATAAATGCCCTATTTAAAAAATATTTAGTTTTGATTTCCATTTGTTTGCCTTCTTTCAATTACGTCAACCCTACGGTTGTCCTTATATGTATGTGCCTTCACATGGTTCATATTTTTTCAGTAATGTTTGTTTTTCGGCTGTCTACATTGGCACAACTGCCTATTTCAACGGGGGTATGTGAGATACAACTGGGGGCCCCCTCCTCTCTGCCGACTCACTTTTACTGAAATAGCTGCGGATGTTTTTAAGCCGTATACAATAATATGTAGGTAATAACTATATATTTATATAATTTTAGTTGCACTGTGTATTGGGTTTAGAGGAAGACAGTCTCACGGTGACAGTATTAATACAAATATTTAATGATACAATACTTACACTTAAGTTATCATGCGTCTTGCTTTCACGTGAATGTCAATAACAAACACCAGCAGTAGCGCTACTATATTTTACGCTGTGTGCGTGTTTTTCAGAAATATTTTTTCAGTTTTTGCCATTTATAGTTAACTAGCGGGAAGTACCTGGCATTACCCGGGGGACAAATATATTTTAAAACTTCTCTTAATACGAAGCTATTGTGAAAGCCCGGCATTCCGTTTGTCAATTTGTCCGTAAACAAAATTATAAGAGGCTTGCAGAAGTCCTGAATCAAAAAGTAATAGAAAGTGGTGGGTAAATAGTTGATCTAAAAGGTTTCCGAAAATTGTCGACCTCCCCCCCCTTCAAAAATATTTTTACCCCCCCCCGTAGGCATATATACTTATACACCCTACATACAATAGAGTGAGTAGTATCTAGTGACTCTATAGTAGTATCTGGCTCTACAGTAGTATCTACTGACTCTACAGTAGTATCTATTGACTCTATAGTAGTATCTGATGACTGTGGTTTTATCTACTGACTGTACAGTAGTTATCTACTGAGCACAGTCGTAGCGACTGACTGTATAATAGTTACTATTGACTGTAGTAGTAACTACTGACCTTAATGTAGTATCTACTGACTCTACAGTAGTATCTACCGACTCTAAAGTAGTAACTACTAACTCTACAGTAGTATCTGCTCACTCTATAGCAGTATCTGCTAACTCTATAGCAGTATTTGCTGACTATAGCAGTCTCTACTTACTCTATAGTCATATCTACCTACTCTGCAGCAGTATATACTGACTATAGTAGTATCCACTGACTTTAGTAGTATTTAACACGTAGGCTTTCGCGACCAATATTATTCATAATCAACGTTTTTGGGTTTAGATCGCGTTATTTATAAATGTGTCGTAACCCTCCACCACCCGACACGGCCAATCAGTAAAAAAGTGTCACGTTGACAAAAGACAAAATAGTTCACTGCTTTAGCCCACCGGTGTGTTGAAGCGCGAGACCACAACATTTACAATTTGAGTACGACGTTTCGCTGGTAATTGCATCCAGCATCATCGGGCAAATTGCCAGAATGGGTATTTACTGACCATAGTAGTATCTACTGACAGTAGTAGTATCTACTAACTATACAGTAGTATGTACTGACTCTATAGTAGTATCTACTCACCGTAGTAGTATCTACTACTGACTATAGTAGTATCTACTGAATATATAGTCGTATCTATGGACTCTATAGTAGTATCCACTGACTAGTAGTAACTACTGATTCTATAGTCATATCGACCAACTCTGCAGCAGAATATACTGACTATAGTAGTATCTACTGACTGTAGATGTATCTACTGACTCTATAGTCGTATCTACCGACTCTATAATAGTATATATCGACTCTATAGCAGTATCTACAAACTATACAAAGTGCCGTGGTGAGGCCTAGTCCCGTGGAGAGCCTCCGGCCTTGCCAAGATTGCTCAGCCGGCCGAGGTGGCACCTTGGTAGGCTAGGACTGGGCTGCTACCCACCATCTCCCTGACTCTATAGTAGTAACTGCACACATTGAGGTGGAGGGAGAAGAGGACATCACACTGTGAAGAATTTACCTTGGCGTTGTCTGTATTTTTTTATCATTTTTAACGCGAATGATAATTTTCCCCCGCCCCCACTGATCGCGTATGTGCGTTGCTCGGGGAACCACGAGATAGCGTTCTTGCGCATGCGCAGATGCGTGCCTTGACGCGCGCTCAGCATGCGCTCAGCATAGTAATATAATAAATAGTAGTAAATAGTTAATTTAACTACTTTACATTTGACGGATGGGAAAAAGAAATTGCGATTTGAAACGTAAAGCCAGCAGTTTGTGAGTTAAATGCGTCACAAGGTGTGTCCACACAGACAGACACACAGACAGACAGACAAAAATGTACTTTTATAGGTAAGATTGTTGTAATATTTTTAAAAATAAATTTTCTTAACATTTCTTACTTGTTTATCTGTTGATTCGGGGTCTCCTTGTGGCCGACTGGGCTCCTATGCATCGTATTCGCTGCATACCCCATAGTTGGTCACCTGGTTTTCTACCTTTGTGACTGTCTTGCCTGCATGAAAATATGTTGTATTTTGGATGTTTCTGGAGATAAGAATAAACTAAACTATATGACAAATTTCAGTTTTATAGCCCTTGTAGAATATTATCATTCATTAGTATTGCAGCCACGTAGTTGAACGATGATGGTACATTGCACACCTTGACAGATGTGTCTGGCTATAGCTTTGCTTTTTAATACATAAAAAAATGTAAACGTGGATTTTTTTTACTGATTTGTTTGCTGTTAATCATGCAGGTGACATCATTCAACAAGCCAGATTTCCTGAACCATTTGGAGTTTGCCCTCAAGTACGGCTTCCCATGCCTCTTCGAAGACGTGGATGAGTTTATTGACCCCGTGGTGGACAACGTGATCACGCGGAATGTCCAAGTGCAGCAGGGACGCCAGTTCATTGTCCTCGGGGACAAGGAAGTGGACTTTGATCCCAATTTTAGGCTCTATCTCAACACCAAGCTTGCAAACCCCAAGTACTCACCATCAGTCTACAGCAAAACCATGGTCATCAACTACACAGGTGGGAAAACTGCTGTAAATGACCTGAAGGTTCCTTTTAGAAGAGGTATTTACAAGAACATTGCAGTTTGCTGTAAACATTTCTGATTAAAGTGGATGTTAAAGACTGCCCAAGGTGCATAATAGGCTACTGTGTGCAAATGAAATCCCAGAGTAACAAGTAAAATCCTATATTTGTAAAATTCATGCTCAAAATGCCAGCACATCCCACTAAAATTATCTTCTTTCTGCTTCATGCCAAATTCTTACACACTCAGTACCCAGCCTTTAATGTCAACTATTACAATACCCCACCATCTGACCCCTAGGTACTTTAATGCCTTGATCGGTAACCTGCCCTCCTGCATCTGATGCATGTGCCCAACTTGTCACAACCTGATTTTTTTTGCGAAACTTTATTTTCACAATCTATTACAAACTTACAAGTTAACGCAACCTGTAATTAAATTCCTCGAATACTCCACACACATGTATATGCATATGGGAAACAAATATCTTTTGAGTTGTTTTGTTAAAGTCCAGCTCACTGGCCCAGGGGCCCTAACAGTAAAACAACATTACTCCTTCCTCAAACACCCATATTTAAAAAACTAATTTATCTCTCTACTCTTTCAAACTGGTTTGTGTAGCCCATTAAAAAACGATCTTGCAAACGCCATACATCTCTTGACCTCACAACACGCTGCATAATGCATACTAATAGCTAAATACATGAATCTCTCTATTGCCTACACATTCTCAATTTCTATTGACACCTTGGATGAAGACGCAGAAAACCCAACCCTAACAACCTGTATATTCGTCATCATATAAAATGAGCACAACATCGATCACAAGATTCAACAGTGTGGGTGATAAATACCAAACACGTCACCTTGCCTACATGTTAAGGTCTCTGTTAACTGCATACAAATCTGAGTGCCTTCATGCACATTCTTGAACAATCGCATAATTTTACATGGAATGCTTTAACAGCTAAAATCTTCCTTTATACCTTCTCTGCAACCAGAATAATGTGCTTTTAGTCAACAAAACATTCACAACTCTTCACCATATAATTGTGGCATTGGCTTCCGGTTACTGAACATTATAAGGTCGCACTCATTACACACAAAGTGCTTGCCACAAATGAACCACAATACCTTGCTGATCTCGTCAAGGAACGTAAACCATCACGCGAGCTGCGGTCATCCTCGCAGCGGCTTTTGGCGAGTCATTGAAAAATATGGTCACGACATCGCACTTTCAGATGTATTTCTGCGGCCGTCTGGAATGCTCTTCCGATATTAGGAAGCCACTGGAGCTATTCACTTTTAAATCTAGAATGAAAACTCATTTCTTTAAAACTGCTTTTTGTTTTTAGTTTGTTGTCCTTCCCCCGCACCTCCGATTAGCATGGTTGGCTACGTACGGTGCGAAATAAGTTCAACATACATACATAATAGATTAATATCAACAGATGAGCATCTATCTCACGACATAGCATTTAGTTTATGTATTCCAGCAGCACTTGTTTAGGCAGAGACATCTTGGACTAGTTTCGACTTTGAGAGTCTCATGAGTAGTCATTTAGAATGGCGCGCATGTTGACTGCCACAAGCGAGAGCCCTCCACGAACACTAGAGGGCCCACGAAGCGCAAAGAATTTTGATAAAAGTCAAATTTGCTCGCGGACACAATGGCGGAGCCAGGATTTTCAGGTATGGGGGGCACCCCTCTAGCAATTAAAAATGATAGAGGAGTTGTTAGTAAGTAAAGACTTGTCCCTTGCTTTTTATTCGATGCGTATGGCACAGCAATCGATCGAGGATCGAATTTGAACTGTGTATGATCGGCATCGCGCTCGCTGAAGGGTGTTTGCCTTCCGGGAAGTCTGGTACTGTATAATAAACTGTGCACAATTCTGTGAGTTACTTATAACTGCTTTACCGTTACTTATTGCCAATTATGGACGCAGACTATTGTCCTATCATCTCATAGAGTCCCTGGCACAAAATAATATGCTACACAGTGGCAGTGGGGGTCGCAAAATCCCGATTTATTACTAATAAACCCCAATGATCCGATCGAAATTAGGGATTTCAATCGGATCATTGGGGGAGCACGTGCCACCCCACCCCACTGGCTCCGCCAGTGCGCGGACATGTAGAGCGTTAACAGTGGTGTGTAAGCCAAACGAGATCTCAGAAGACCGGGAGAAATTAATTGTTCTTCTTTTGAAAAAGTGCAGAGCCCACCAGCGCCTCCCTCTACCACTGAGCATCACCCTACACGTGTGATTTTGTGAAGCTGAAACGAGCTCGTGCACATGTTTGTGAGTCAGTGACGATGAAGGGTCTGGAAGATCAACTGCTTGGAGTGATCGTGGACTTTGAGCGGAAGGAGCTGGAGGAGCAGCGTGAGCGCCTCGTCCAGGAGACCAGCTCCAGCAAGAAGCTGCTAAAGGAGCTGGAGAACTCGCTCCTCCGTGAGCTCATCACGTCCACAGGGAACATGCTGGACAACGCACAGCTAGTGCAGACGCTCGATGAGACCAAGGCCAAAGCCACCGAGGTGCACCGCATTGCTCAACTTGCTCCAACACAAAGTCATAGTCATCTGGGACAGCACTAATACAAATCATCAACACGAGGGTTTTATAACGATAACTTAAATTTGCAAGTATGTAGCCAACTGCCTGTAAAATATCGATCACCTCAAGATTGCAGAATTACACAAAGAACAGAAGGGTACTGTAGTCCTCACACTGTATCACAGTTCACCTTTCCACATTTAAACTAAACTATTTTTTATTTTACCAGGTAAGGCCCACTGAGCTATATAGATCTTTTTTAGAAGCAACCTGGCCACAAATGATAGCTCAAAGAAATGGCTTATCATGTGGAAATTTATAGCAGCCAAATATTCTAAACGCATGTTGATTCTAAATGTGGAGGAAAAAACAGGAGGACCGCAGAAAAATCCACGCAACCACGGGGAGAACATGACAACTTCAAATACTGTATATAGGCGTCGTGTTCAATCTCTTACATTCAATTGCATATAGCATGTGCCTGATTGGGTGTTAGGCTGGGTGGCAGAGTGACATTGTTGCTCACAATTGGAAGGTTGTGAGTTAAATTTGGAGTGAGGAGTCGACTCAGTACATCAGCTCTTTTTTGAGTCAATTAATAGGTCAGTAGAACAGTGGTTGTTCTAAGGAGAGGCTGATCTCCATCATAGATATGTTTAATTTACACCACTCGCACAGGATCACCAGTAGATATGAGCACAGCGTAACACTGATGATGATTGCTAAAGCTTTGGGTTGAAACGTAATTCACATATTCAATTAAATGCTTTATCAAGATCGTTTTAACTCGATTATCCCAATACTTTACATATCAACTAAATTGTGCTTTTATCAAATACACCAAAACAAAAAAAATCAATGTACCATGAGCCCTAACATTAACCCCTATCGAGACTGACCTCTTCCACAGTCTCCTCCGTATCCTCACATTATGACACGACCTCCTTGGCACAGATAGGTGTTTGGCTCCCTCTACATCCGTGTCTATTGCCTCGTTTCTGTCGTCTCACACCACGTGTCCCTCTCTTGTCTCTCTCGTATCCTGCTCACATCTGTCGTTCATGTCTTTCTCATCGTGTCTCTGCTCGTGTTTTTCAACGTTTCTCAATTATAATTTCTCTATTGTGTCGTGCTTGTTTCTCTCATGCCTCTTAGTCTCTCTCGTGTTTTATTTATGTCTATCGTGTCTCTTGTGCTTCTCATGTATCCTTAAGTGATAGGGGAGATTATAGGAGAAATTAATTCAGATGAGATCAAGGAGATTTATTGAGACAAGATAGAAAAGGGATAAGATACGAAAGAGATTCATTTTAGAGCAGATATTAGATCTATTGTAAAAGAGAGATACATTTCTCTGAGACATACGAAATGAGAGATATAATAAATATATGAGAGACATGTTAGAAGAGATGCATTTAAAAGAAACAATAGGATAGAGATGCATTTGTTGGATATAGAAGGTGTATTCAGATCAGATCGAAGAGGCAGGAAATAAATGCACTCAAGCGAGAGAGAGGAGAGGTGTATAGAGTGGAGATGGAAGGGTGACAAACGATACATGTAGAGAGTAAAGCTTGTGAATACTGTACTCACCCTGTGTTGTAGTGATTGAAGGCTTAGCTCCACTCACTATATTGACTTGATCCAAATTGATTCCGGCTATTATTTCTCTGAATCCCAGGCCACATTGAGCTTCTTTGGGTCCTACTAAATGTCATATTTTTCTTGCTATTTGCTAAAAGTATGGCTGATTGGCTTTAGAATCACAATATTCCTTGTGGTCATTATGCCTTTTGCACGCGGTATCAAGTCAACTTTAAGGGTTGGCTACTTGAGCATTATCAAAGAGTGCACAAGTGCAATGTGTGATCATCACCTTGTGGCAGGTCTCCGAGAAACTGGCCCTGGCAGAGCAAACGACTGTGGACATTGACATCCTGCGCAACAGGTATCGCCCTGCTGCTCAACGTGGAGCAATTCTTTTCTTCGGCCTGTCAGAAATGGCCCTCATAAACAGGATGTACCAGTACTCGCTCTCCTCCTTCCTGCGAGTCTTCAGGTTTTCTCTGCGCCACTCAATCCCAGACAGCAACCTCGGCGTGCGCCTGCAAAACATTATGGATGCACTGACTTACAGAGTCTACAACTATGGTTGTACAGGTACATCCCACGCCTGATAGGGACTTTGATAAATTAAATTACAGTATACCTACGTTGAGACCCCTTTGGAATTTAAATCCTCACTTGAAAAATATGTAAAACATAGCAAATATAGTTTGCATTATTGAGTGTGATCAGAAAATGACCTGAATTTAAAACGAGTATTCTTTACCATCCATAAATCATCTTGAATGCTAAAGATAGAGCGTATATACATTTTAAGTGGTGCAACATTGGTGCTGTGTTTTGCGCATTGTGATACAAACCTGTCTACTTGAGTTTGATTTCCGGCCATGGCTAATATTGCCAGCAAGTGATATTCAAACTTTGCATTGGCCTCCTCTTCATTAACCCGCACTGACAAACGTGGTGGAATAAGGTCAAACGACCTCCTTGACTAGCCTTCATCCAGCAGTAGATTCACAAAGGAATTTGTCCATGCCAGGTGTGTTAACATACTCTATTTTTAATCCACAATGTTATGAATTATTTTTATGTTTACACAAAATCTTGTACAGATTTGCCCACTTGGTTTTAATTGAGTCTAAAATTGGTCTTGATCACTTGGGCCATTCTCATTGCTTAATGTATCATACTCTCTCTAGGCTAAACACTAACTTAAAAACATCGTAAAAATCATTAATCCTACCGCCAATCGAGTTTTCATTTTATTATGTCCATGTGTTTTATGATATTTTTCCAGTTTCCAAAGAGCAACTGTGATTGCTCTACTGGTTTAGTGTTGTTTGCCATCAAATTTTTTTTTTTTATTTCCTAGCTGTATAAATCATGGTTTTGAAGTTTGTCAAATGTTTCACAGGGCTGTTTGAAAAACACAAGTTGCCATTCTCATTTAATATGACTCTCAAGATTCAGCAGGCAGGCGGTCAGGTGCCTCAGAGAGAGTTGGATTTCTTCCTGAAAGGTACAACATTTAATTATCGCCTGAGTCTGAGTAAAATCTGTGACTTTTTTTTAATTGTTAAAAACATTAAATGGTGTAATATTACCTAAGATTAACATGTGTGGTATAAATAGTGCAGAACTTTACATTATTAAATGTACCCTGCAGGAAACATATCCCAGGAGAGGAGTAAAAGGCAGAAGCCATTTGGTTGGATCCCTGACCAGGGCTGGGAGGACGTGGTGCAATTAGCAGAAGTGTCCCCTGAGGCTTTTTCGAATCTTCCAGGGGATATTGAGACACACGAAGTGGACTGGAAGGCTGTGAGTATAAGCTTACGCATTATCTGACAAGCTTTCCACATTACATTTCGTTTAGTTGTTTTTGTCAGTAGCGCGGTTTGAGAAATGAGTGCATCTGAACGATGCTCATTTTGCATTTCCAAGAATTGTAAATGCTGGTCTTGAAATAGTTTCTTATCACAAGCAAGTGTCACAAGCACTTTGAAGTGCATATTCATAATGTCAACAAGGGTCAAGGGCATTTTCATTTTGGTGACTAGTAATAAAGAGTTTCATGGTCAGCAAATAAGGATTTGCATTTATTTATTTAGTAAGTCCTGAATGCCATGGCACTTCACAGCGTTATAATGAATAATCTTAAATGTTGTGTTGTCTGCTCTTAGGATGAAAGCCTTGCTTGTTTATTTATTTAAAGTGCTATATTTATAGCAATAGCATCTGTACAATCTGCCCTCATGATGTGAACCCAGCTTTGCACTGCATGTGCAGTTATTATGTTTGTGGCACTGTTGTGTCTAACCCTCCTATGCACGTGCCATTTGCACATCAGTGGTTTGATCTGGATGCCCCGGAACAGGCGACAATCCCTTGTGAGCACAAGAATAGCCTGACAGCGTTCCAGCGTCTGCTGCACCTACGCTGTTTCCGCGTGGACCGGATGATCCGTGCCATTACTGACTATGTCACTATTACCATGGGCGAGAAGTGAGCCTACGCACGCCAAGCCACATTGCAGATACACCTAAAATCAAACTTGCATTGCAGCATCAGCATTGTTACCCATACACCAAGTATCGTCTTGGTGCAGTACTGTTTCTAAAGGTGTCTTCTAGTTTATATAACTTGGAGTAAAGCATCCTATATATGTTAAGTTAATGATTGTAGGAATTTTGAAAAATAGCATTGTTAATATCAGTGAATGTAAATTTCTTGCTGAAACAGATGTAGTAAGTTAATTGCCTGTTTTCCCTCCATGGATAAGTGCTAAAATCTCCAAATTACTATCAAAGAGTTGAGTCTATCCGTAGAACAACCACTGTTGACATTCTACAAAGTGGTACTGATTGAATTGATTCCAGAAGGACAGAGGGCTTGTGTCAACCTCCACCAGGATTTTAACCGCAGAACCTTCCAATTACGAGCTGTGTTCTGGAATCACTGCACGACTCAGTTGGATATGTTCTCACACGTATCTCATGATAACCCTGCAGCGTTATCACAAGCTCGATATTTGAACTGCCGATCTCTGGATCGAGTGGCAGTCACGCTAACCTCAAAGACACCTGGACATAAAAATCAACTTGGGCCGTTATCAAGGTGTCACCAGTACATGCAGAGTTGCTTGTTACACAGAGGTGGTCGAATGTTGTCTCTTTCACGTCTGTGCTGCAGGTACGTGCAGCCACCCGTCGTCAACATGAGGAATGTTTTTGACCAGAGCAGCTCCGCGTCGCCCGTCATATTCATTCTGAGCCCTGGTGCTAACCCCGCCAGTGACTTGAAGAAGCTGGCAGAGCAGTTGGGCTTCACCAGGAAGCACCTGCGGATCCTTGCCATGGGCCAAGGCCAGGAGAAGGTGGTTTCCTGTTTTAGAAAGTGCGAATGATGTTTCCCTAGCCTCCCAAGAGAGAAGCATTGATGAATGGCTGGTTAATTGCATTTTTAAAAACAGAATAATAAGTGTAGTCTTTCAATGTTTTTTTTACACTTGTGAGGTGAACTGGATCCCCTGGAGAAAACCCTCACATAGGAGGCTATAACCCCAACATAAATATGTATGGATAGGTCAACAACCTGACTTGTATTGCCACCTGTGAGCCATCTTATAACCTTACAGTTTGGTTGTGCAAGATGACAAACAAGCATCACAATGCCCAGCACATGCAGTACATAGTACCACTTAGATTTTTACAATTACAATTTCAGGTTACATACCATCTGAATGCGATTGCACCAGAGTCCATTACCAACAACGTCCCCCTGGGACAGCCGGTGAGGCCAGAACAACACAAACGAGTCCCAGGGAGTCCGCATGGGGCCAAGGCCCATTCACAGTTAGCATCATAGGTCACTCATTTCGGATGAATCCAAATGTGCATGCTACATTGTGATTGTTGTAGGCGAACAATGAAATTATATGTTGTGAGTTGACATTGTGCAATTGTGGGTTTGTAACTGCGTTGCTTGTGCGCACACAGGTAGCCCTAAAGTTGCTGGAGCACGCAGCAGCACGGGGCCTGTGGCTGATGCTGCAGAACTGCCACCTGTTGGTGAGGTGGCTCAGAGATCTAGAGGAGGCCCTGGGCAAGCTTCACAACCCACACCCAAACCTGCGTGTGTGGCTCACGACGGAGCCAACTCCTCTCTTCCCCATTGGCATCCTGCGGAAATCTTTCAAGGCAAAGCACACAATGGATTGGGGATAAAACACACGTTTTAATTGGTGGAGCTACAGTGTCAGCATAAGGCAGTACATACACATCCATTGTTGTACTGTACTGCTGTAATCCAATGTCTATGCTGCCCGCCTTAACCGTACCCTCGCTTACCATTGTGGTGAAGTATGGTCAAATAAACACCATTACTTATCCAGTGTGGGGAGGATCTCATCCAGAAGTTGATTGACTAAAGGGCTGTGCATGTATACACATGTACATGATATGTGATCTATATATGTTAAACTTCCTTCGCATGCTTGATATACTCTATTGAAGTACACGCATTCATTACCTGCAATGGTATGGGGGCACCATGATAGAGATAAGCAAATCAATGGCTTAAAGGAGTATTAATCTTGTTATCTGTGATAATGCTTTTCTTATTTGTGGTGTGGATTAAACGATGGTTTTAGGATACAATTCCTCTTAAGCATAAAACTAAAACTATAACCGTGTCAGTCGCTAATTTTAAGCTATGGAGGCCAAGGCTGGGTTTTCGATACCAATTGCCAATATACCAGCCATGTGTTAAACACAGGTCTTGGTTATCGTAGACGTGCGGCAGGGTGCTCATCTCGATTTCAAGCTTTCGTGACTACAGGGATTCATCTTCTTGGTTCTTTCGGTAAAGTCACGTAGAAGGAAAATAATAAAATAATAAAAATAAAACATAATAAAATAATTCTCACGACGTTTCCGCCACAACGCAAGCAGCCGTCTCCAAGCCTGGGGCGTGCCATTCAGACTCTGTCTTTTCGACAGACCTGTTCTCCACCTGAAGACGGCTGCTTGCGTTGTGGCCGAAACGTCGTGAGAATTATTTTATTATGTTTTATTTGTATTATTTTATTATTTTCCTTCTACGTGACTTTACCGAAAGAACCAAGAAGAGGGTGCTAATCATCACGCCAAACACTCCCCACACACACCGAAAACTCGGATTCAACACTACTGCTTAGATTTTAGTGGTTGTGCTGTATATATAGCTCTGACTTATTTTTGGCTTGTACCGCGTGTTGTTTGGCACTGAATTGAGGTGCACATCAGAGAGCTGATCCCAATCAAAAGTCAAGACCTGGCAACACCAGCAGCAGCTAACAACAATATCCAATCGAGGAAGAAAATAAGCTGCTTAACTTCAGTTCCTGAAAAAGCTCCCAGCAGATGGAACAAAACATTTGAGCATCATGCCGAACAACATGCGAGACAACCCGAAAACACATTTGATTTTTATTCAACTCTCAAAAATCTGTCTTGATTTCTTGTGCTTCCCTGCTTTGTGCCTTAATGCACACCAGGTCGTAACGGAGCCCCCAAGTGGCTTGAAGCTGAACCTGAGGGCGACGTACTTCAAGGTGTCGCACCAGGCACTGTCGGACTGCCCCCACCCTGACTTCCGCCATCTCGTCTTCACGCTTGCCTTCTTCCACGCCGTCGTGCAGGAGCGTCGCAAGTACGGCAAGATTGGCTGGAACGTCCCCTACAACTTCAATCGGTCTGACTTCCAGGTGACCACCATATCCCTCCCTCTAATTCTAGATTTGATACAGTGATTTTTGCTGTGGCGGTGCCACCTGAAGACGGAGGCTTGTGTTGCCTTCGAAATGTCGTGATTTAATTTATTTGTTTTCTCTTTTTTTTAACCTACGTGACTTTACCGAAAAAACCAAAGAGTATCCCTCCCTCTAATTTTGATCCATATCCTGGAAAAGGGATTAGGTGGATTGATACATCGTAGGACTGTGAGAGATGGTGAGAGTCTGGGGAGGCCTTTGTCCAGCAGTGGATTAATCATGGCTGATTATAATGTCTACTAGGACAGCATGGATCATACTTATGCAGTACTGGATTGAGAAGCAGGCTCTGCGAGCCCAGTACCAACCCAGGAATTACCCAGAATCAGCCCCAGAGCCCTGGACATCAGTCACCTATGAGCCATGACACTCCGTGGGTTCACCACCCTCTTCCTTCCAGTGCCCCCATTCCCTCGCTGTTGCCCAGGATCTCCATATAACTCACTGTACTCCTCTCCCCTATTATTAGTCTATGCATGAGGAAGAGGTCATTAGAAAATATAGTAATGATAAGGCATCCAGTTTATTATTCAGGAGTCTATGGTATAAGGTTGTTTTTGTTCAGTTTATAAGGTGTGGTTTACTTTTTGCTTGTCAACATGTGTTTTATTGCTCTTATAGTTTTAACGAATGTGCAAATATCTTTACACTGCTGTTTGTGTGTTTTACGGGTAGCACGAAGGTCTGCTTGCTATGCCCATGACATATCTGTTTTCTGGCACAATATGCCACAAAAGCTACAAACCCATAAAGCAATTGTTACAAAATGTACTACTCCACTTACCAATACCTCTTTCCAAATCCGCATACTTTTTGGAAAAATTCGCAATAAAATACCTTGAAAAAGCGTTTTTTTATGAAATCTCTAATGAAATGCTGTGTACCGATATGATATTAGCAGGTGTGTGCATGGAATACGTGCATATTTGTATTTACGTGCAAACGTGTGCATTCATTTTCATGTTTGCTGCTTGTTTTGGTGCAGAAATGTCTTTGTATAGCCAAATCCTTTTAATGGATTGTCTTGCCAGCTTGTTTTAAATATTTATGCTTTAATGTTTGCATTAGTACATAGTGCATTAGTTTGGCACAACTGTTGATTAGCCAATTTTCATATTTTATTTACACTGTTTTGCACCAATTTTTTGTTATAATTTGGTAAAAGTTTTTACCTTTGTCTGGTATTTTACCCCGGGCTTCCTGACATCAGGGACGTCCTGCAGCATTGGGCTCACACCTGGTTATAAACAAAGGAATCTTACATTCTTTTTCACAATGAAGGAGTGATGAACATTATAAAGCAAAACTTTAAAACACCTGTGTCTGTACATAGGTTTGCATGGAAATTCTTAACACATACCTAACCAAGGCACACCAGCGAGTTCAAGGCAAGATTCCCTGGGACAACCTCAAGTACCTGATAGGCCAGGTGGGTATTTTTATGTATTTCTTTTAAGGACATGTCCACTGATGATACTCTATACTCAGTATGCGATTGCATTTGAATACATATCGATGGGTCACGTGCACTGTACCTTTCTAATGCTGCATGTTGTTGCACAGGTGGTGTATGGAGGCCGTGTCTTAGACAGTTTTGATCAGCGAATTCTGACTACGTACTTGGATGAGTACCTGGGAGACTTTGTCTTCGACACGTATCAGCCCTTCCATTTTTTTCACAATGAGCATGTCGACTACAAAATCCCACCCATTGGGCCCAATGACAGCTATGTTGGTAAGTTGCGAACGTCAACACATTTTTTCCCCCAATGTTTGAAACACCACTACAGCTGGTTTAGCACGTATTAGGCTTTCGTGACCAATATACATCATAGAGGTTTTCTGGGTTAGATTGCGTAAATATAAATGCGTCGTTAAACCCGCCACCACCATACACAGCCAATTAGTAAAGTTTGTCACGTAAACAAAACATGCCAATTAGTTACTAGTTCAGTACACCGATGTGTTGGAGAGTAAACCCACAACATTTACAATTCAAATACTAACTGGCTGTGGCGGGTTTAATGACACAATTATATTTACGCGATCCAACCCAAAAAACTCTATTATGGACCACTACAGCTCATTGTTTCTTTTCTACGTTGTAGGGTGACTGCTTATGTACAGATCATCAGCATAGCCAGTTTCGGTTTAACAGGCCAGACTATGCTTATAAGACTAGTTTCAGTCCATATCAATGTCTTAGGTTTAAACAAATCGTTGAGGCATATTGGTTGACGAATTAAATGTCTTATATGTGGTCAAATAATCCATACCATAGACATGAGCTGATAAACATTGAATCCTAAGACTTGAAGTCAAGCTACTGCATCAGTGCATTGGTATGGGTACCTGTTCTCTGAGAGGTTGCTTGTTACATGGTGAAAACAGAGGTGCTGGCTCGATGTCTTAACATCGATATCATCCCTCTGAAAGACATGCAGCAACCTTGGAACTTTTAACTTCAGCAAGGTTAGATTTTACAGGCCAAACTTTTTTTTAATTTTTTCATAGATGCAATTGAATCTATGCCTCTTGCGAACACACCAGAAGTGTTTGGGCTGCACCCAAATGCAGAGATCGGCTACTACACCCAGGCAGCATGTGACATGTGGAGGTACCTGGTGGAACTGCAACCGCAAACTGGTAAGCAATTGTAGTCATTGCTTTTAGTGCACGTCAGGGCAATACATTGTGTGCACAGCCTTTGTACACGGTCAATAAAGACATCTGGGGGTGATAATCTGTCAGAATCATGACGCCGTGTCGTTGTGTCATTTAAAATGACATGGGTGAATGTGTGAATGTGTTTGCCTTGGACAATAGAGATCCTAGACACTAATCCCCACAACCTCTCAACTCCTCAAGCTCTTTCCATCTCCTACCTATCAGCATTGTTATTTAGCTTAATGTATGTATGTTGAACTTCTTTGGCACCATACGTAGCCAACCGTGCTAATCGGAGTTGCATAATGAAGTAAAGTATGTTTTACAATTTTGTCATATAAGAGCGAATTGAATTTAACTATTGAGTTTGGTAGATACAGTACTTGTTCTGTATACAGGCGGTCCCCGCTTTTATGACAATGCTTTCCTGGAAAAGCCTCGTCGTAAATCGGACCCTATTTTCCCATAGACAGTAGAAACAGAAACATCAGCTGCCGATGTGTTTTTCCTTTTATCAGCCCTATTTAACAGGGCTTAATTGTAAAAAATCCACAAAAAACGCTTGAGAATAACAAAAGCTCCACGCTAAGTCATTGGTACGGCAGCAAGCGCAGCTTATGCGAATGCTGTCGCAAGAGGTCACACGTTTGGAGCAATTGTCCTTCGCTGACTATGCGTTATGAATGAATGATGCCAAGTCCCATTGGAAACCAGACTGACTGTTCAAATATTTCCGGAGTCATGTCAGAAGATGCATCGTAAATCAAGATTCTGTATCGTGAATTAATCCATGGTGGCATTACATAAATGTCGTAAATGTGGATCATGCTAAATCAGTCTGTTGTAAACCGGAGACCGCCTGTATTGACCTCATTGGTCTCTCTGACCACGTGACCAGTATTCACACTGGATAGCAAAGGTGTGACTGGCAGTGAAGGTGCTCATAAAAACACTGGTTTCACACAATAGGATTTTTATATATCAATGTTTAGACAACAAAAGTCTTGCCATCATCATGCCACAGTATATGTTACGCATATAATTACACGTGTAAATTATTATTGCACATATACATTGTACATATACCTGTCCCTCAGACTGATCATGACTATAATCCTGCTATAGTGGAAAAATGTCAAAGTTTATGATCGACTGGTGCATCCCTGCAATGTGCTCACACATTTATCATCTTGTGATTTTGACGACAACAACAAAAAATGGTGAACACTGTTTAAACCATTAGGAGACACGAGTGTCGGAGAAAGCCGTGAGGACTTCATTGCTCAAGTGTCCGGGGACATTGAGCAAAGGCTGCCCATGAGGTTTGACCTGGACCCGATCAAGAAGGCCCTGGGAAGTGACATCTCACCACCCACTGTGGTACTCCTCCAGGAGCTGCAGCGCTTCAACCGTCTTGTCATCTGCATGGGCAGATCCCTCAACGAGTTGCAGCGGGTAATGGAATTTAAAAGTATCCTGAAATTTAAAAGTAATGGAATCTAAAAGTATCCTCAATAAATATAGCCTTAAATAATGGTCATCAGTTAGACTTCTCCACAAATCTGGCTGTCGCCTGATGAAGCTAGTTGTAATTACTGGCGAAACGTCATACTCAGATTGTAAATGTTGTGGCTTGGCTCTCCAACACACCGGTGTGCTGTACTAGTGACGAATTAAAATGTTCTGTGTTAACGACACATTTATATAGTTACGCGATCTAACCCAAAAAAACTCTATTATGAATGATATTGGTCGCGAAAGCCTACGTGTTAAACTAAATAGTGCAAAGGTTTAGCCCTGTGATTACGTGCTTTTGCTAACATAAGGAGTTTCACTAGAGAGCGCTCTAGATTGCCCCAATAGAAAGTTTTAGGTTTATTCTAAGCTTCCCAGACATCTTGGAAGAAGTAGGAGTACCCACACTTTATCCAACCACACTCGATCGACTACCTGTGGTGTACTTGTTCATATTGAACAGAGGTGGGGAGGATATCAGAAACTTGCCCCATATCAACTGCTGCACTGGGAAATCAAACTGGTGTGGTCTGGATCGCAAGTCCAACGTGTTAACCATCACACTGTAGTAGCATCCCTCAAATAATTATATGTATCAGTAAAGTACCTTTATGGTTGTTTTGTTTCATCGCAGGCACTGATTGGTGAGGTAGGCATGAGCAGTGAGCTGGATGACTTGGCCCAATCCCTGTTCAATGGAGAGATCCCAGCCATTTGGAGGAAGCTTGCTCCCAACACGCTCAAGAGCCTTGGAAACTGGATGATACACTTCAAGCGCAGACACGACCAGTACTCATCATGGGTAGGAACTTGCTTTTCATCAGTTACATAGGGAGCAAGCATGTCAACTCGACACACTATACACCACTTTGTTGATAAGTAACGTTGTTGACCATTCCGTCATGGTTTGCACTGAGCATTTATCTCAATAAATGTTTCTCTTATGAATAGATATCTGAAGGAGAGCCACATGTGATATGGCTGTCAGGGCTGCACATTCCAGAGTCTTACCTGACTGCCCTTGTCCAGACCACATGCCACAAAAATGCATGGCCACTGGACAGGTCCACCCTATACACACAAGTTACTGGTTACCGCAGAGCTGAGGAGATCACAGAACGCCGAGGGCAAGGTCAATGAACACTTTCTATAAAATTACCATGTCATTTTTTTTATTCTGGGACTGCAGTTTTGTTTCACTAGCACACACATATGCCTTAACTTTTTCGTTGATTGCCCACCATTAATCCAGTTTCCTGATGTGTTTCCAGGATACTTTGTGTCTGGCCTGTACTTGGAAGGAGCTGACTGGGACATAGAGAGACGATGCTTGGTTTGCAGTAGACCAAAAGTACTTGTTGTGGAGCTCCCAATTATGGAAATTATTCCGACCCAGTTGCGCTTAGTGAAACTCCAGGTAAACTGGACAAATACAGTCATGCTAATGATCTGTTATGTGAAAAAAATGGGGTGGTGAGAGTGGCTTTGGTGCTGGTAGCTCTCATGGAGAGGACGGCATATGCTATAGAGATTTTGAAGTGGTGTATAAATTAAAACTTGATAGGCCACAATACAAGTGATGCACTGCTGTCTCTGTTGTCACAATCTTCTGTCCATCTCTCTCTCCACTCTGAAGGCCATTAGCTTACAGAAATATTTATTTTTCATTCGTAAAGCGGTGTTAATGATGATGATGAAGTGTCTTCAGCTGCAAATGGTGTCTCTTGTACCGCAGAACACTCTTCGAACACCCGTATACGTGACATCAATGAGACGAAACGCGATGGGAGAAGGGCTGGTATTTGAAGCCGACTTGCACACCTCCCAGCACATGTCTCACTTGATCCTGCAAGGAGTGTGCCTCACTCTCAACTCCAGCTGACATGTGTCTGCCAAGGTAAACTGGATAAGAGTACTGCATACCTGCATACAACACAACTTTTTCCAACATTGCTCATCATCTCCATTGCAATTCCTGAGCCAGCAAAGGAAATTTTGCATTCCTTTAGCTGGAATCAGTTCGGGGCTTAGTTTCAGTGCAGCCTGTATGGGTTGGCAACCCGGAAAATATTTCTGCAACCCGGCATACCACAACCAGTATGACCGTCGCTACTACTCACTTTCCTACTTGGGTCTATCAGCAACCCAGAAAATGAGAAATTAATCCCTGAATCATTCTTTACATGATTGAGTGCCTATACAATACATCATGTAATCATTTTATTTAATCTTGATATGAATCTTTCGTGAATGCAGGAATCCATACTCTTTGGTTTATTTGGTAAAGTCACGTAGGTAGAAAAATAATAGATCACGACGTTTCGATCGCAACACAAGCAATCTTCATCAGGTGGGACAACCACGGCAAGATAAAACTGCTGAAGTAGGCTAGAGATCTGCCGTGACACGAGGTTATATAGGCCTCGGCAGTAGGGGGGGAGAGAGGAGGTGGGGGGAGAGAGGGGCGGGACAGAAAATAGACCCCCAGGCAGCACTTGGAGAGATCTGAGAGATCGGCTGCAGGGGGGGGAGAGAGAAGGGGGAGGGGGAGGAGGCGGGGCAGAAAGTGGACCCCGCAGCAGCACCCGGGTCACTGGAGTAGAGATCGGAGAGAGATGCACAGAGAGAGAGAGAGACACACAGTCGGAAATAACAGCTGACATAGGCAGGTAGGATGGAAACATCACAGTCAGTTAAGACTTTACCTGGTTGATGACGTCCTTCCAATGATTGCTCAGTTTGTACCCATCTTCTAATTTATCAATGCCTAATGCAGATTCAGGACAGTCATGCATTGAAATGGTTGGCTTAATATCTTGTTTTATATGTATAGAGCGCCTTTGTTCATTTAAGGAACATTTTGTATGTGGGAGGGAACCAGAGTATCCAGAGACAATCCACGCACAGAGAGGTTCACGAACCCACTTACCATGCTGCCATGTCCTGGCCACCTTACACTGCCAGGGCACAGGTCAACTCGACTCAACTACCATATAGTTTCCATTGATATGTCCATGGAAATTAGATAATCGTGTCAAACTTGTTCTGCCCGGAGTGCAGTTGCTCTATATTGCCACGGAGGATGACATTGCTTACTTATAACATTGGGAAAGATTTTGTTTTCATGTGCCTGTGCCTGTGTGCAGCTGTCAGCATGTACATGTATTTATTTGTGCACATTTCTTTGCACAGTTGACTCTGCTTGAAACAGTATTCTTGGAATACTCTGACATTATCACGTGAAGTGTCATCCTTATGTCTGAAGTTCTTCCAAAGATATGGCCTAGGAATCCTCAAAAATAATGGAGGTTCCATTAATAGACTGGCATGTCGACATGTTTAATATTACATTTAGAATAATACAAAAATCAGAGAACCTCGCCCGGACAAGGGATATCGGGACACACCCCTGGAACCAAGCCTGGGTGTGGTGTTCGCTGGCAAGTGCCTGGTGACCGGGTGACTCGTGTAACCCGGTCGGGCCCAACCCAAAATGGCTATGTGGCGCCGTCCTGTGGGCCCACTATCCGCAGGACAAAGTGTGAGTGGCGGGTGCGATGCCAGTTTGGCAGGAATAGAGATGGTCTCAGATGGACTGAACCTTAGCGATGGACACTAGCTATAGGGACGCGGAATGTCACGTCACTGGGGGGGAAGGAGCCAGAGCTGGCGGAGGAGGTGGAAAGGTACTGACTAGATATAGGCTGTCTCACCTACACACACAGTATTGGCATTGGAACCAAACTTCTTGATCGGGGGTGGTCTCCCTATTTCGGAGTAACCCCTGGTGAGAGGCCCCGGGTGGGTGTGGGAATACTCACAAGCCCCTGGCTGGGTGTTGTTCAGTGGACGAGAGGGTCGCCTCAGTGAGACTTCGGTTCTCAGAAAGGAAAACCCTGACTGTTGTCTGTGCTTATGCACCAAACAGGAGTTCAGAGTATTCGGCCTTGGAGATGGTGGGTGCAGTGCTCAACAGAGTGCCGCCTACCAACTCAATAGTCTTACTGGGCAACTTCAATGATGATCTAAACCCGAACGGTGAGATGTTATTGGAATTCTCTGATAGTCACAGAATGTCAATAACAAACACCACATCCGAACACAAGAATGCTTATAAGTGTACTTAGTACCAGAGCACCTTGGGCCGAAGGTCAGTGATTGACTTTATAGTTGTATCATCAAACCTAAGGCCTTATGTTCTGGACACTCGGGTGACGAGAGGGGCAGAGCTGTCATCTGATCACCACCTGGTGGTAAGTTGGATCCTATGCTTGGGGCACTGACCAGATAGATGTGGAAGGCCCAAACAAATAGTGCGGGTTTTCTGGGAACGTCTGGCGGAAGACCCAGTGCAGAATTATTTCAACCTCTAACTCTGGAAAAAAAACTTATCCTGCACTCCAGGGGAGGTCGTGGACATTCAGTCTGAGTGGACGATGTTCAGGACCTCGATTGTGGATGCAGCTGCGAAAAGCTGTGGCCTGAAGGCAGTTGGTGCCTGTCATGGCGGCAACTCTATGACCCGCTGGTGGACACCAGTGGTGAGGGAAGCTATCAAGTTGAAGAAGGAGGCTTTCCGAGCTATGCTCGGAAAAATGTCTCCCGACTCGATTGAAAGGTACTGGCTTGCCAAGAGGACGGCAGCTGCAGCAGTCGCTGAAGCGAAAGCCCGGGCATGGGAGGAGTTTGGAGAGGCCATGGAGACGGACAACTGGGCAGCCTCTAAAATGTTCTGACAAACCATCTGACGCCTTAGGAGGGGTCGATGGGGCGTGGTCCAGGCTGTTTTCAGTAAGGGTGGCATAACATTGACCTCAACTAAGGAGAGGTGGAAGGAACACTTTGAGGAGCTCCTCAACATGGTGGACATGCCCTCCTCTCAGGAGGGAGCCCTGAAAACAGCTGGGGGGGTCAGATCCATCACGGCTGCTGAAGTCGCTGTGACAGTTGAGGGTCTTTGTAGTGGCAAAGCTACTGGGGTGGACGAGATTTGACCAGAGTTGATGAAAGCGCTGGACAGTGTAGGAGTGTTGTGATTAACACGCCTCTTCAATGTTGCATGAAAGGCGGGTATAGTAACTCTGTATTGGAAAAATCGGGTCATGCTTCCCATTTTTAAAAAAATTAACCCATATAAACAAAGTTTTTCACTCTAAATCCTTTATATGCGTGGCAGCTAGAGTCCTCTCGTCCTCTGGCTTGAGATGGCTGCCACCTATGGGTCAGATGATTGCCTGGCAGCATTAAGCAATTGGTAATTAAATATAAAAAAAAATTCCTAAAAATTTAGCAAATTTTTTTTCACGAAAATTAATTGTCACGCACAACGAGTCTGTGTGGAAAATGTCAGCTCGATTGGATCACGAGAAGTGGGTTAAAAACGACCGAAAGATTTGCACGGTCGTAAGCGCGCAAGCAAGCAAGCAACCAAGCTAACTTAATATAAAGGATTTAAAAAAGGAGACCAGACGGTGTGCTCCAACTATAGAGGAATCACACTCTTCAGTGTGCCAGATAAAGCTTGTGCCAGAGTGCTGGAGAGGAGGCTCCGTTCGGTGGTTGAGCCTCAACTTCAGGAGAAATAATGTGGATTCCGTCATGATCATGGAACAATGGACCAGCACTTTTCCCTCTCACAGATATGAGGGGTCATGGGAGTATGCTTCTCCAATCTACCTCCGCTTCGTAGACTTGTAGAAAGCATGTGACCGTGTTCCCCGCAATGGCTTGTTGGAGGTGCTGCGGGAGTATGATGTACCCGTGCCGTTCCCTTTATTCCCGGAGTGAGAGCTGTGTCCGTATTCTTGGTGTTAAACCAAAGTCGTTCACTGTGGGTGTTGAATTCCACCACGGGTGCGTCTTGTCTCCAATTGTTTGTGATTTTCATGGATAGGATATCAAGGCGCAGCCGAGGTATGGAGAGTATCCATTACAGGCCCATGGAGGTGGTGTCGCTGCTTTTTGCAGATGACGTCCTCGTCAGTGTGTGATCTCTAGCATTAACTTGAATGGTTTGATGCCGGGTGTGAAGAGGCTGGGATGAAGATCAGCACCTTCAAATCTGAGGTCATGGTTCACTTCCAGGAGACGGTGAATTGTTCTCTCCAGGTGAGGGGGGAATAGCTGCCCTTAGTGGAGGAGTTTAAGTACCCCGGTGTCTCTTTCGCGAGTGATGGTAAGTGGGAGCGGGAGATCGGCTGGCAGATCGGTGCGGCGTCCGCAGTGTTGTGGGCACTGCACCATTGCGTGGTAGTGAAGCGGGAGCTGAGTTCTCGAACAAAGTTCTTGGTGACAGGTCGATCTACATTCCCACCCTGACCCATGGTCATGAGCTTTGGGTAATGACCGAAAGGATGAGATCGTGGGTACAAGGGGCTCACTCTCCGTGATCGGGTGAGGAGCTCGGTAATCCGGGAGAGCCTCAAAGTCGAGCGGCTGCTCCTCTGGATCGAGAGGAGCCAGTTGAGATGGTTCAGGTAGATGGTAAAGATGCCCCCCTGATAGACTCCCCCTGGAACTCTACCGGGCACGTCCCATTGGGCATAAACTCCGGGGCCAGCCCAGGACACGCTGGCGGGACTATGTCGCTCATCTGGCTTGGGAACGCCTGTCCGACTCAACATGCTGCCTCCACGACCCTCATCAGGACAAGCGGACTGAGAAACGAACGAACGAACGGACCATGCATTTCGGAAAGTTACATTTCTGGGAAAAGTAGACCAAATGTTTGTCAATGTTGTGCAAACATAAAATCTGACAAAACATGAGTAATATGAATTTTATTGAATCTCTTTGCATAGTGAGCCATATGCTATAATGTTCCGCATAGCAAGTGCAATAAGAAATGTAATTTATTTAAATGTATGGGTTAAAACATTCAAAATAATAACTACATATTATCAACTTGTTGCTATACTTTGGGAAGCTCTAACATTTGAGGCAGATCTACCAAATCAATTCAAAGTGCCCATGAAATAGAAATACTGATTTTTTTGTTGTTAAAGTTATTGATACAACTTTGCATTTAGCAGGGTTTTTTGGTTACCTTTTTCTTACCGGAACATTCCTTGGAAAATATCGTTTATTCAGGTTGTACTGATTGTATTCTTTGTCCACTAACCAACCCGAGGAGCATCAGCCATACGCAGTGCCAGATGAATTTGTCCTTGAGGCAAAGACAATCACATTACTATTTATCTACAGCAATAGGAAACACATTGGTAAATAAACTTAAAAAACACTTAACAATTCAAACAATGAGTTAAGACACATGCATATATGTTAAACACTATGCTCACTTAGGCTATAATTAGGCGTGTAATGTATATGATAAATAGCACAATCCATCAGGATGCTTTATATTTCATTCTAATAAATTACCTTGCATTTCATGTTAGGACATTTACCTCAATGTCAATTAAAGAAACTCCCTGTTACATCTTGTCAACAAAGTAAGCTGGAGTCAATCTTAAATATTTCTTTGACTTGGCGCCATGCACATGGCTAAAGATGACGACGATGATGTTGATGTGTGTAGAATATTCAGCTCACATGCACGCATGTCAAGATTCATGTCCTAGCTCACAAGTACACAGACCAACATGTCTGGCTACAGAAAGGTCATTCCTCTTGTAAAAGGCACTAATGCACAGTGCAGCTCGGCCCAACCTTGAATAATCTTGCCTACATCGCATACGAGACACGTGTCATGGTGCAGCGCGGAGCTGTAGTTTCTTCCAAGCCAGTGCAAGGGCGTAGGCCCCGTGAGGTCATGGAGACCCATCTTCGTGGGTTGGGGTGAGGGGCTGCTGTCTTATGTCTGCTGTGGTCATGTATTTTTAGATTCGAATAAATACTGTACTGTCCTTTATGCCATTGGCAGTGCTACAGCCTTCGCAAGTGGGGGGGGGGGAGGGGTGTGCTAAATGGTGGAGAAAATGGGGGGATGGGGGGGAGACAGGGGAGTTGGGCGAAACCATGATGGAAGGGGAAAAAAAAGTCAGCATCTGCTGCATAAAGGTAAAGGTGCTGTAGCGGAGGGGTGAGGACAGAGTGGCTCCAATTACAATTTGAATGTATTTAGTGCCTAAATGAAAACTACATCTCAAACGTTATACACATGATACACTGTACCACCAAATGGGGATTTATATAGCCAATATATTTTAAAATTAGGTTTGCATTATTGTTATAATATACTTAATACTTAGTTTGAACTGCGTACGTTAATATGGTTGTCGTATAGTACTCTGTTTAGATGCTCTTGCATTGAAACGCTATTTAAATTCATATTCCTGTAGTCCGGTTGCAGAAGAGAGCTGAGCACAGACAGGAGACGCGTTCTGCCTCAGATTATATTGTACTCTTTAAGTTCACCATCCCGCAGCCACAGTGTCTCTCCAAAGAGTGATACTGTTAACATAAGTTATGTATAGCACATTATATTTGTAACACTTTAGATGTTCTTTTAACAGTAAATGAATGCGTTTATATGGACCATTTACTGTTAAAGGTAGCCAATTGGCAACTACAGTATTCCCTAACCAGAGAAAATTTTAGTCGAGGTGGCTAAGTCTTTGTCCCCTACCAAGTAGAGGGGAATCAGCCCCCTCCACCCCTATGGTCTATTCCAGGCCTCCTTGTGGAGATGTGAATATTTAAGTGCGGATATCCACTGCTAGAAAACAAATTCACTTTTCTATGCACGTGAAGCGTGATCAATAAGTGAGAGGTAGAGCGAAGGGGGATGATGGTAGGGAGGTAAATGGAGCGAAGAAAACCAGTGGGAAAGGTCTGAAAAAAGATTTGCGCAAAGAGAAGATGTGAAAATGTACACCAGCAGTATGAGAAGAATGGCTTGCATGCTGAGAATTATAGCTTACTGTCAGACAGTACATATTCATCTTCGTTATTTTTTTACATCGAAAACATTTCATATTGTATACAAGCCCATTATAAATGTTTACATGTGTGTGTAACAATCACAGCTGCAGAAACGAACTATGGTATTACATTTACCAAGCCATGTATTACATTATGTGCTTATGGTTGTTGTGTAAAAACCCAGTTGCTAATGCATTATTAACGTTCCACGGTATCGTGGGCATAGCCAACCATCAGGCACCGCACATCTGCTGCTTGCCTATGAACACTAACGTTCTATTCCCGATCTCCAATAATCGTTAAAACGTGTCCACAAAAAGCCTACAGTGTTCAGCAAAGTTTATTATGGAAAAAAACCCCAGCGAGTATATTTTTTTCTGCCGCTGTGAGAAAAATACAAATCTTAATTACTTTGGCTAGCCAAGCCTTCAGTAAAGAAGATATTGCTGTTAGCAACATAGATCCCCACGAACAAAGATCCCCACTAAATGCCACTGTCCAGGCTCAGTGCCATGACTGTTGTGAATACGTTGTTCGTGATGCAAAGTAGCCATAAAATGGCAGGAGAGCAACTGATTCTTGAATCTGTATAGAACTTCAAGTTTTACCCCCTCATATGCGTAGGTTTTCTTTGGGTAGTTCAATTTCCACTGGCATTGAAGCCAAACATTCATGAATGGAATTGGCCAAACATCCCAGTATAGCCCCCTCCTGACAATCTCTTTGGTCTTACCGGGGTAAATTTAGGGCATTATTATGTTGTGTCTTATATAAATGCCCTCAATTATTTCTGGAAGTCACCATCAGTTCTAATAAATTGGGCTAACATTGCATACAGGACCTTATTAAGAGTCTTGAAGACTCAGCAAGGTTTTACGGGAAAGAGATTTCAATTACTGATTTGTAAATTCAGCAATTAGCAGTGCACGTTTGCTGTTTTGTAATTTGAGGGCATTCAGTTGATAGATATCTGTGCATGTGCCTATGCCCAATATATAATATTAAAATACCATGTTCTGACTTGGCTAGTATTTTGTTAGCACTGCCAATGAGATTGTCTCCGTGTAACTGTAAGCAAATGCACGTGTAACCAGTGGGAAAAATATTTTACCGTAATCAATAATTACTCTTCACACATCTATGTCTACAAGGGATGGTTTCCACTTTTTCCCACCAGTTTTCTTTAACTATTCATGAAATGATATTTAACTGTAAAAAAACAATGCTTCACTACATCCATTTGTTACAGTTAAAATGTTAATACTATTAAAGTGTAGATTGTGGTCATAAAGCCTTTGTCTTCTTGCCCTGCTTCAAACAGGTCACTTTAGGTGTTGGTACGTTTGGTAACGTCTGAGATAGCCGAACGAGTCCTGCTGTTTGGCTTTGAGCATCGTCCAGCCCTGTCTGGGGAAGACGAACCGCATTGTTGCAGTCTTTATCATTGAGCACAAGCTCTCGTGGCATTTGGCTACCGCAGCCGTGAATGCCCGTGTCCTGGCACGGCAGGAAGGCGGAGGGGTCAGGCATGTCGTACAGGTAGAGGCAGGGGTTGCCCACCACCCTGGGGGACACCCAGGAGTCCAGCACAGGGCTGAGGAAGAGTCCAGGGTCGGGCATATCCGTGAGGCTGTCGAGACTCATAGAGCGTACAGCCGCGCTGCGCACGCTGTACTTGGGCGACACGTACGACTGCCTCACGATGCTGCTTTGCCGCCAGTCGCCATGGTCCTTCCCGACGGGAGGCCCTCGTACAGCCGCGGGCGAAGCTCCCCGACCTGTCGCGCTGTCCACCTTGGGCGGGGGGTAGCCCTTGCCGCTGGAGAGCCTGCCCCTGACGTGATGCAGCTGGGTCGTTAGGTGGGCTATGGTGCTGCGCTGTTGCTCTAATTCGTGAGCCATGACGTGCATCCTGTGGCTCTTCTGCTTTATCTCCTCCAGATACTCGCGCTCCTGGCCCCTCATGCCGCCCTCCAGCGCCACAATGACTACCAGCGTTTGGTCGATCTGCTCGGTGAGCTCCTGCTTCTCTTGTTCTTTATTTCTGAGCTGAGCTTCCAGCTCCCAAACACTCCTCTCCAGTGCCTCATCCACACTCTTTTCATCTTTGCTCCAGAGCTCTCCTGTGTGATGTGACACAAGCACACAAAAAAATGTTAGTTTTTTCTTGGAGTTGGTGAATTTATATCCATTCCATTGACCCAGTATTTATCTGTATTTGTCACTGTTGACCTACATTTATTTTTTTCCTGCAGCTGCTACTGGAAATTTAAAACTTGATTACCATAAAGTTACATAACTATTATTACAATTAATTCTAGATTCCTACACCACTCCTGAACAGGGTTTATGAAAAAGGCACTTTTATTCCAGGAAGGGCCACACTTGATAAAAATTAGCCAACCCTAATCAAACACGTTTGTTGCAAGTTGTGAATCATTTACCTGTTCTACACCGTCTTTTGTTTTTGTTTATGCTGTTTGAGGTTTGGTATTGTTAAGAAACACTGTTGACAATTTGTTAAGCATATATTGTAATAAACATGTTTCAAAAGTTCGAGTTCATTCACTATTTTATTGTATTTGCAACATGTTTGAGGCGATTTCATCAATAATAATGGATGAGGGCCACCCCACACTTTCAGACAATGGTGGTTATTTTACCATATTTCGTGATGCTGGTCAATTCAGGTTGATGATGGGGTTGCGTGGGATTCGTTCAGATATTCAATTTACATGAGCCATGGCTGAGGATTCCCCACATTGCAGTACGCTAACCACTTGCCACTGCTGCACCACGATTTTATTAATAATGGTCAGCTATGTTCTTCTATCTCTTACTGGTTCCTCGATGCGACAATCCATTCGTCTCCAGCACACGAATTAATCTCGTCACTATCTCCAAAGTTAGTCGTCCTCTCGGATGCGGTCCTTCCCCTGGCTGCCACTCCATCACCATTCTCGTCCTCCGCGATATCATGTGCTGCAGACTGTAGTACGACATTAGATCGTAAAGTCTGCATTGCGTTAAAGTGGAGTCATTTGTAGTCTAAATGCCTATCAGCAGACTGGAAGTGTGTGGGTGGATTTATTGATTGCCTCCCCTTGATTTGAAGGTCACCTTTGTTGAAGCACTTTACACAGAATCATAATATTTATTTACGCTGGAGGAGTCCGATGAGCTCTGAAGCTCTTTGCACGGATGTTCTTTCCTATTGAAGATGTGAAAAAAATGATCTCACCTTCACTGGGGGCTGTCTTCATCACAACTTCAAAAGTCAAATCTGCAACAGTTTAAACCAAAAACACTTCAGTGATTATCAATCTCACCATCATTACCAATCAATCTATTCACAGTTGGCTAATATCCTACGTTCATACATTTATGATAGGTACAATATGCAATACACCTACATGTCATGTTTTGATTATTTAATTTCCCTTTGCCCTCTGCTTTCCCCATGACCCAATTATAATGTTAGCAATGAAATATACTACACATACACATTCTTACAGCAGCGACTTACATAAATTATTGATACATTTTATACACTTGAAGATGCCATCGCAGCAGGGAGCACCAAGGAATTATGCGTTTAGGGTGGAAACTCGAAGTGGAAACATCATCAGCCATAAGAGGATATTAACATGCCTAGAAATTTCCATGGTGACTTTTATTGTGACACTAAAATTTGCCACTGAAATCACGATACCGAATGTTATCACGATTTCCTGGATTTGCAGAATTTTATACAGATCCAGCCCCTGTTTCTCCCAGCATTTAGCGACTATCACTGTGGAGAAGTGAACGGCGGTGGGGTGCCCCCAGTACCAGCGCAGTGACGTTGCAGCTGTGCTATCTCCGAGTGCAGGAGGCCGAGCCTCTGGCTGTGCGCGTGCTGCTCGGCCTGGAGAGCTTCCTTGGCTCGCTCCAGCCGAGCCCTGGCCGCTGGCTCCCAGGGCTCCAGGACATCTCCTACACAGAGTCAGCCGTGAGGAAATCATGCATGTGTGCAAGGTTTTGTTACAGGTTCTTTAGTTTAATGAGGAAGAGTAATTCAGTTTTTCAGCAGGTTCAGTTGGAGAGGAAACCGATTTGAACACTCCTGTTTTCAGGTTGTGTTTTGTGTTGTTTGGCTTATCTGGCATTTCTATTCATGTGCTGAGAACTTCTTCAGGAGCTCAGTCCCTCAGCTCAATACTGGTTCATGAATTGGCTCCCTGCACGTTGAGTGAAACGTCGGGCATTCTGACCATTACGCAGTACAACACGAAAACGCATGGGAGACGTACAGAGGCAGAAAGAGAAAGATGCTGCTTGACAATTTGAAGGTGGTGGAGGTGTACAGATGAAGTAAAGACGCTCAAGAATGTGATGGGGAAAAAGGAGTTTGAAGTGAGGACATGCCATTGGGCAGAGGACTGAGATGCTTTCTGGGTCAAGGCAATGTCATCTTGTCTTCCTGTTCAACCCAGAAATGCGTGACATTTACCTCCATTGGTGGGCCTGAACCAGTATTGGTGGGGCCCAAGTCTACGTCCAAGGGGACATTCACTGTTGACTTCTTATCCAAGAGCAGGAAATTAACTCAGGCTTACAAGAGTGAGTCAAGCACCAGAACTACAGTTTCACCCAGCTAGATAGAAGACAGGCGTTTACTTCCGTATAACATATAAATACAATAGTTGTTATTTATTATGTTGTACATTTTTTTACCGCTCCAAGTACATAATGGTAAACTGAATAAAGAGCATGATACCATACTCTTTGGTTCTTTCGGTAAAGTCACGTAGGTAGAACAATAATAGATCACGACGTTTCGATCGCAACACAAGCAATCGTCATCAGGTGGGACAACCACAGCAAGAAAAAACTGCTGAAGTAGGCGAGAGATCTGCCGTGGCACGAGGTTGTATAGGCCTCGGCAGTAGGGGGGGAGAGAGAAGTGGGGGGGGGGATGGGCAGAAAGTGGACCCCGCGGCAGCACCCGGGTCACTGGAGTAAAGTGGACCACCTCAGCAGCACTGGAGAGATCGACACGGATCAGAAACAAAGACAATGGTAAATAACCTGGAACCAAAGATGTGTGTTAGAAGGTGCATGCTTGGAGTTTGAGAGCCAGAAAATGGACACACGATTCAGTGAATGCAAATTAAAGACGTTGACTGATAACATACTTGTATTAGTCCTTGGGCCAGACCAGTTATCGGTACCACCCAAGGTGGCAAAACTTCAAAGGTGCCATTTTGTTTGTTACACCAACAGAAGTCAAGACATGACAACCTTTCCAAATGAGCAGCTGTTGAATTGTTCTCGCAGTAAACCTGTTTTTGCACCTATCCCAATCACGCCTATTTGCCCGGACGTTACAAATAAAACATTCCAACACCTCTGCTGTTAAGACAATAAATAATTTACAAAATGGATGTTTTTCCCCAAGGCATGTATTTCATACATATAGCATTTATTTACGCTTGTTCTTCAATTTCAGTGACTTAGTGAAGTCTGGAATAGATTGGCGCTGTTTTCCTTCTGTTTCTAGCTGCTTGTTTGTTCATGATCACTTAGTGGCAGGTGAGGCAAGTACTGATGGTTCTGTATTATTTCTGTTCAGTAAAGATATCTAAAGTGGTAACTTTACCCTCAATGTATTAATGTACCTGTTAAGATTATTGTTAAGTTTGTCAATTTTTATATATTTTTAATATTTTGCTTCTATAAATTGTAAACTTTCATAACATGCACACAATTATTACCAATAACTTTGTTATTGGTAATAACTTTGTTATTGGTAATAATTGATTATTAAAATCATAAAAAGTAACTTTATATTTTCTAAGTTTGTTTTTACGATTTTATACACACTTCGCCAAGTAAACAAAGTCTTAAATTAGTAATTTGTCTCCGCATTCTAAGAAATAACCTACGTGAATTGCATATCATTGACAAGCTTATTCTCTGGAGCAGACGTCTAGCTTCGTCATATATGGCTATTTACTTTGCTGTCATGGCATTAAGAGGGGGAACACACAAGTAGAACTCTCAAGTCTCATTGCTACTGGCATCACAGTGCCAGAACTGGTATTGCGATTTTCTAAAAATGACATTTTGCATGCCGAGTGTGAAAACTCATGTTTCATAAAAGGTAAAGCCACATAATTCTACATACTGCTTCCTACTTGGAATAGCTAGAAATGTTCAGAATGATTTTTTGATATTTTTGTCATTTTATGTGGTAGTATATATGTAAAATATATTTTTACATAATTAACTGAAAGAATAATATGACAAAAGCCTCTGTAGATTGCCAACCAATTAGTTATTGATCACATTAAAACAAACCAAAAAGTTACGGCTTCATCTACTAAGTCAATATTGTGTTTTACATAATATGCAAATGTGTGTATATTTAATGAGATAACACGAAAATATGCATAAATGAATGGGGGGAAAGTCACAATACAAAAAAGCTTATATTTTTGTGTATATTCTTCTGGTAATTTTTCGTTCTGATAAAAGGATAGGATTTTTTTGGCTATTCATCTGTAGTACCTCCCCTTAATTTAGTTAAGATTAGTTAAGATGAAGGAGGCTTTTCAGTTCAACTGGGCTCCACCAATCCCTTTGGCCGAATCCCTGTTGACCACGCTACAGAAGAAACAGTGAAAAAAGACACCCAGACAGCTGGGGGGACAAAGGGATTCAGCTTGAAGCCAGGAGCCGTGACCAAATTTTACCTAACAGCTGAGTACAGAAGCATGTACCTCAGACAGCTGAGAGACTTGATAGGTCAAGGCAACTCCAAACTGTCCCATCCAAATCTACAGGGTCCAAGGATCAAGAGAGATGAAGCAGATGGCCAGTCTCTCATTGACCTTATGGAGACTAACTGGATCAATCCCCTATCCCCTGATGAGACAGATCTGGTTAGCCTCTCCACTGGTACCATGGCTTCACCTGATGTTACCAGGGATCTCTTGAGACCTCTTGAGATAGGAGAAGAGGCCTACCAGGTATTGAAGCAAACAAGGTTAGTTGACCTACCATCTGTGAAATACCACGACAAGATGACCAAGCAAAGTCTGAAGACATTCTCCAATGCCAGCACAAAAACAGCACATGGAAAGAAAGCACAGGATGTGGTTCTGAAGGCAGATAGAAACCTGTTCAGCCACATGATCCTGGTGGCTGAAAGCAGGAAGGTGAATATGAACGATGTCCTTGCCCACCCATTGGGCCCACTGCCATGGGCACTGGCAAATGCTGATGGGTCCCTAAGAAAATCAAACAAGGCTGCACTTTCCAGAGAGCTTGAAAAGAATGTGTCTCCTGCAGAAGACATCCCAACCCCATCTACTTCCATCATTGATGGGATGAGCCTGGTCCAAAAAAATGAATGGCAACAACAAAATATTTGCACAGGTGGCAGAGTCAGCCTTGACCCAGGTCCTCCACGAGGGGGCACAGAGTGAGAGGACTGATTTTTTACTGGTAGGAACGAAGTGGACCAGCCTACAATAGATTATATCGTACGTCCGTCCGTCCAATGTCCGATTACGTGTAGCAACATCGCCCCCTACTGAAAACACTTGGCATGACCCTACAAAAACCTTTAGACTCTGTGAGGCTTTCCTGGCTAAACAAGTGTAACATTCCCTTGTAATTCCCTCAGATAGCTTTAATTAAAACATTTAAATGAATGAGGCTTTCCTGGCTAAACACGTGTAACATTCCCTTATAATTCCCTGAGATAGCTTTTAATTAAAACTTTGAAATTAAATAAAAAACTCACAGCGCCCTAAAGCCTACAGCTAGGCCTAAAGCCTAGAACTAGGCCTCAAAGTCTCCCTTCGTATCGTACCCCCGCGTGTGTGAAAGAGAGTTAATGTTTAACAATGTTACATTCCCTGATGTTTTAAAATAGAAACATTTACATTTAAAGCTTTTACATTAATAATTAAAACATTTAAATTATACATTAATAATTAAAAATTTAAATTAAAAATTAACTCACAGCGCCCTAAAGCCTACAGCTAGGCCTAAAGCCTAGAACTAGGCCTCAAAATCTCCCTTCGGATCGTCCGATTAGGTGTAGCAACATCGCCCCCTACTGCAAACACTTGGCAGGACCCTACAAAAACCTTTCGACTCAGTGGGGCTTTCCTGGCTAAACAAGTGTAATAATACATTATGTTTATATTCTTTGGTTATTCGTTCCTACCAGCCCACCCCGCAGGGTCCTGTTTAATGTCTACCGACAGACTTCGATCAAAGATGCTGAACGACTGAACCGGGGTGCAGATAACACTCTCCAGTACAAGAATCTTGCAGGGGGGTGCCACGTCCAGCAGTGGAGAAAATTCCTGTGCAGTCCCTCCAACAAGACCAGTCTCATCAAGTTTCTGGTGGAAGAGTGGTAATTCCCACGATACAGAGAGATGCTGCATGGCAAGGTGTTGTACATGACTTGTGAGGAAACCTGCTACAAGTTGACAGAAGATGAGTGTGAGAAAGTAGCAGAGCTGCACTCCACGCATGAAGAAGTTGACACCCGTCTGCTCCTGCATGCATTGCATGTAGCAAATGTGGGCTCAAAGGTAGTTATCATCACAGCTGAGGACACTGATGTCATGGTGCTTTGTCTTGGCTTCCAGAAGGACATCACCTCTCCCGCCTACGAGAAGTGTGGGACACAGAACCGCACACGGTTTGTCAATATCAGCAAACTGACAAGGTCACTTGGAGACAGCATCTGTGACAGCCTAATTGGCTTGCACGCCTTCACAGGCTGCGACACTGTCAGTGCATTCACCATCAGAGGGAATCTGAATGCCCTGAAGATGGTGAGAAAGGACACTTCCTGCCAAGAGACTTTTAGTCGACAGGGGTAGTCATGGAATGTGAGTGATGGACTGTTCCAGAAAATTGAGCAGTTCACCAGTCGCATGTATGTTGCTAATCGCAGCACCGGTGAGGTGAACGAACTGCGCTACCAGCTCTTCTGCACCAAAAGGGGAGAAGTCGAGTCCAGCCAGCTGCCACCATGTAGAGACTGTCTCTTCATGCATGATCAACGAGCCAACTATCAGGCAGCAATCTGGAAATGCTGTCTGCAGGCTAACCCTGTGGTGCCAAGCCCTACTAAGTATGGATGGACAGACGATAATGGCAAGCTGGCCATTTACTGGATGCGCTCCCCACCCGCACCAGATGTGGTCTTGGAACTGCTAACATGCAAGTGTATGCGTTCATGCAAAATGCCAAGCTGCATGTGCCTGTCAAATGGACTGACATGCACAGACATGTGCAGGTTACAGACCTGCAGTAACCAAAAACTGCAGGATGATCCAGAACCTGACTTTGAACTCAGGGAGTCAGATGACGAGATAGACGAGCAGTTTGATGAGTGACACAGGGTGGTGATTCTGATGGTATTACTGTGGTGGTAGTAGTAGTATAAATTGATGCACAGTGTGGTCATTCTGGACTTGGTTACCCTTGTTAACACCATCTAAGTACACACAGAGCTTGATAACAATAATGTAACCTTTACATATACCCATCACTAACGATATATATGGGATTACATGTGTAGTGGTGATACGCGCTGGGATTAGGGATCGTATGCCAGCGCGTAATGATTGGCTGTGTATGTGGTGACGCGCGCTGACGGTGGAGGATCAGGGGTCAGCGCGGGGTCGTGGGTTACGGGGTGCTGATTGGCTGTGTGCCGGTGACGCGCTGAGAGGGAGTGATCAGGTGACAGCGCGGTGTGATTGGTGGAGTAGTGTTAACACGCGCTGGGGGAAAACGGATCGTAGAGAGAGCGCGTCGTGATTGGTTAACTAAGGAGCGATGCTCACGTAGACGTCCGCATCAGCTCCGTCTCCCGTGAGCAGGGGCTATAAAAGGGGATGCACACAGGCGTAAGGGCAGTATGTAACCAGCGAAGAATGAAGACGGGGATCGAAGAGATAGGGCCCTGCGGTACCTAGTCCCGCTGTCCTAACGGGACTGGGACTCTGTGTAACCCAGAGGCGAGTGTATTGTGTGTAGCCATAGGCATAGGGTCTACACGAGCCGAATGCATTGTGTGTAGCCAGAGGCATAGGGTCTACACGAGTCAAGTGTATTGTGTGTAGCCAGAGGCATAGGGTCTACACGAGTCAAGTGTATTATGTGTAGCCAGAGGCATAGGGTCTACACGAGTCAAGTGTATTGTGTGTAGCCAAAGGCATAGAGTCTACACGAGTTAAGTGGAGTGTATAGTACAAAGAATAGAGACCACACGTTGTATTGTGACACGTCAAGTTTTAATAAAAGTGTGTTACCCGTCAAGAAGTTCCTGCCGTCATTTCCAATACTTCACATGTATCATTGACTAAGTATATGCGAATGTCAATGTTTATAATATTCAAGTAGTTCCGTACCTCACTGTGGTATTCCTTATTATCCTGTGTTTTCATTGTGCATTTAAACCAACAAAGACCAGCTTGTGACCTAACTGGCTTTGGTCGAGGTAGTTTGTCAGTAATAATGCCCATTGCATCGTTCCGGACGCCTGTCACAGGCTATGGGTGTTTACAAGTCGTGGTAACTAAAACTAAGCTGCCACTCCGCAAAGGTGATCAGATCAGAATATGTCCCACACACAGATGGAGGATTACAAAAAACATGACTAGACTTTGCCACCTCAGCTGGTACCAATAAGTGATTTTTTTTAGGTCTGGGCCCTTGGACTATATATGAAAGTAGGCTTCGGCAGAACAAAAAGCATGGCGGTTAGGCATTTATGTAATTCATATTTTCACGTCATATATAACCCCCACTGCACATGGGAAGATGATAAGAGATAAATTGTAAGGTACTCAAAGGCAGGTCATATTAAGATATACAGATATATGATGGTGGATAGAGGGAGGCGAAAATGTATTATGGCCCAGCCCTGTGCAGTGGGCGCCACCTCCATTTCCCCACAATCACTACCCCTACCCGCCAACACCCATACCGGCGTTGGGTTACAGATGACCTAACAGTCTTGTGAAAGGAAATGCAAACACCGCATCATGTAATCATGCGGAGCTTTGTTGGCCGTGCAGGCCGCCTTAGGGGCCGTCCATAAATGACGTCACGTGATTTTGGACGATTTTTGACCCCCCCCTCGTCACACGGCGTCACAAAAAGTCAGACCCCCCCCCCTCAAATATGACGTCACAAAGCTCTGCCCCCCCCAACCATATTTCCATTTTGAAAATAAAACATTGTAGTGCGTATTTAATGTGGCGCTGCACTCTCATGTTGTAGGAGTGTTATACCAATTGTTGTTTTCACAATTCTATATTTATTTAAAGTTGCGCATTTTGATGTGACGTCACATTTCTCAAACCCCCCCCCCCTCGTCACACATCGTCACAACTGTCTGACCCCCCCCCCTCCCCCAGGTGCGTGACGTCATTTATGGACGCCCCCTTAGTGCATCTTTGTGTTAAACTAAGAGGGATGGATGTTTGTCAAGGTATAGAAGGAGCCTTACCTGAGAATCCCCTCTTAAGGGATCAAAGACCGACTTCCATGTACGGTTTGCAGCCTCAATCAACTCCTCATCCCCATATTTCTCCCCTTTCCCCGATTAGGTAATAGGTGAAATAGATAATAATAAATAATTGAACCTTATGGAGGGACCCATGGGTTCCAGATAAAAAATGTGCAACTTTAAATAAATATAGAATTGTTATAACACTAATTGTTATAACAACACTCCTACAACATCAGAGTGCAGCGCCACATTAAATACGCACTACAATGACAATAGTTTAAAGCGATTTGAAGCAAGTTTTATTTTCAAAATAGAAATATGGGTTTAGAGGGGGGGGGGGGGCAGAGCTTTGTGACGTCATATTTGAGGGGGGGGGTCTGACTTTTTGTGACGCCGTGTGACGACGGGGGGGGGGGGGTCAAAAATCGTCCAAAATCGCGTGACGTCATTTATGGACGGCCCCTTATGTCAAAATGTTAAATGTCATGGATAATGATATGTTATCAACTCGCTCATTGTATTCATACCGTCTCTAAGCAGACAATTCTGACAATGGACCCGCTCGCCCCCTTCAACAACCTACTCGTACACTCGCCCACCTCTGTGTATTACATTGTCACACGGACACAATTTGTGTGAATGCAATGTTTTGTGTTTGCGTCTTTCTCCACTTGTGCTCTTGGGAGTCTGCTGTGCTTTTGAATGTTTAATTTTTTTTTAAATGCTTTGGAGAAGGAACAAAACTCTTGTTTAGCAGCATGATCTATATATTCATTGCACGAAGGGTATAGTTGAAACAGCCATTGGTTCAAACACGCTGCAATGCGGTGTTGTTTTTGCTAATTGCGTTTGGAGTGACATTGGGTTACGCTGATTGTCTACAGGCCAGTACGTGTGACGAGCGAAAGAGAGGCTATTGTGTGCGTTCATACGTCTAAAAACTGTAGTTAGTGGAGCGAGTGTATATTAATAATGTACACAGCCGTGTATATGCGTGCATGTTTTTATATCCATATACTGTACATGTTTAGAATATCAATTTTATTACCCCAATGACGTAACATGTTATATCGGTAAGATATAACGACAACATTTATCAATGGATAATTTCCCACTGGACAACACATACATGATAGCACACGTGAAAATATTAATATAATTCATGCGTATGTATATGAACCCCGAGAGGATGCTCCAACCGGGGAGATGGAGCAATGAAATACGTGAAGTGGAATGTTTCATCTCAGGATCGCGAGAGATGGCGATGGTTTGGGTGAGAGCCTTTATCCAGCAGCGATCATAGCTGATGATGTATGAGTTCCAAAGCATATGAACTAAAAAAAGCTATATAGACATTCGAAAAAATATATACCAATGCATTACATCTCCCGCAGCGTGTGGCATGCACATCCAGTAAGTACATTTTAAATGGCTGCTGCAAGATGTCCCTGCACGAAGGATACAAATGCACCGCACCGGTAGAACACACAAGTACATACGTCCACTGCAGATGCGGCCATCAGCTCGCCTTTACACAAACCAGCAGCAACGACGCCACACAACGCGGGGTGAAACGTTGGCAAACTCGACTCACCGTGGCAGCGGTCTTCTGCCATTTTCCCCGTGTCTCGCTGGTTGGAAGCGCCTATTTATGCGCGAATTGGACCGTCGGGTTCAAGCAAGAAAAAAAAATGCGCCAAGTCCAGCAGCCGCACCGCTCATCCCCCGCACGTGTCCCTTGTTTAACTCATCCGCGGACACATTGTTCCAACCACGCAAGGCTTCCCGCATACACACTGTTTGTTAATATATATTTTTTACAAATCGTGGTATAACGCTGCTTATGGCTCGTAGACCACGGCTGCTATGGCAGTGCTCGTGATGATGGTTAATAATTCTAACAGCTGATGCTTACGTCCTTTTAAGGAAACCCCATCGCGCGTGAGGTGGGTGAGTCCATCCTGACATTTAAACGCCCACTGTCTTCCATAGGGACCGGCTCTGTGTGTGCACTGCGGCCCCTATTCTGATTGGATTCACAGCATGATTGGATTCTAAATTAAAATAGCCAAGTCAAACATGTTATACAATTTTAAACACGCAAGTGACGGGTTTTGTTAATAGAAATAAAGGGCAGTATACATTATAGGAAAATAGGCGGATCGTATCGTTACGCATTTTCCACCCTTTGTAAAGAACATAGCGCTAAAGGATTGAATCGTCGCATAACCTATATGTGCTTTAATGTATACAATACACGTCTACTGTGTATACAAGAAACTGCGTGAAATCATTCGTATTTGGTCCACGGTGTTATTATTAATTCTGGGTTAGGATTCCAGATTGTGTCAGTTCCCACGCTGACAGAAAATGAGGACCACAATGGTCTCGTCCGATGTGCGGTATTATTATCATTACCCTCGCCTGAGCCAACCCCCACCCCCCATGTCTCCTCTCAATGCCATTAGCAAGCGGCGTATGGGGAGCAAACCGGAGGAAACCCATCAGGCATGCCAGGGGGTGACACTCAGCAACTCCCTTCGCCATCTCGCGGCCCCGCGCAGCCTACAACACTTGGCAAACCCAAGCGGTCACCCGGTACAAGGGACAAACCCAGGCTCAAATACGCTGAGCTTTCGAGATCTGAGAACTCCCATGCATGTACATGGTGGTCCAAATGTCTTGTGAGCCCCGTTTAATGATCTGAAACTGATTTTTTTTAAAGTAAGGTTTATTTGAAACATTAATGGTTATGCAAAATAAAACAATATTGGGGTCAAATTTTGATTTAAAGCTTTCGTGACTGCAGGGATTCATATTCTTGGTTCTTTCGGTAAAGTCACGTAGAAGGGAAAAAATTAAATAACAAAAATATTAAACAATAAAATTATCACAACGTTTCGACTGCAACACAAGCAATCATCATCAGTTGTGACTTTACCGAAAGAACCAAGACTATAATATTGGGGTCAATTAATTGGGGGTCACTACATATGGACTACCCTGTACAGTACTGTGTTTTGTTTCTTCCAAGACGTCTGGCCATCGTGGAAGAGTAGGCCAAATACTGTACATTCTAGCGGGGTTCTCGAGAGCTCTGCCTAATGGAGGCTCTTCTGCCAGCAGTGGTGTGAACAAGACATCTCAGCAAGCTATACTGTACACGAGTTACACTTGATATAGCTACAAACACTATCGTGCATAGATGACCAATATCATTGAAATCTTTCGTAACCGGATTAAAGCGGGGTTCGATTAGGGTATATTCCATAGAGTGGGTAAATCTTGCATGCCCAATGTTTCGTAAGGGGCCGTCCATAAATGACGTCACGCACTTAGGTGGGGGGGGGGGCAGAGCTTTGTGACGTCATATTTGAGGGGGGGGGGGGGTCTGACTTTTTGTGACGCCGTGTGACGAGGGGGAGGGTCAAAAATCGTCCAACATTGCGTGACGTCATTTATGAACGGCCCCTAAGTATTATATAACATAAACTTGCGGGGTGCAGCGGTGGCTCCGTAGTTGGCGCACTGCGCGGTGAACCTGGCCACCTCAGTTCGATTCCCGACCCCGGCTCACGTCAGTGGCGAGTGATATCTGAACCGGTCCTGGGCCCCCTTCCCGGTTTTAGCAGGGTGGTGAAGTATGTGCATCAACCCGTATGAACGACGACAGGGCGTGGGGAGGCCGTCATCCAGCAGTGGATTGACAAAAATAACCAAGCAGGGAGGATGATGCGTGGACGATTAATTGACCTCTATGGTAATGCATAACGACAAACGCATGGAATATATTCGTTTGTAACAAGGCAACTAAGAAACATTCGTCAATAACGCTATGGTCTTATAAAATATATAATAGGAGACGTTTCGGATAATGGACCTTTACGGCACACACAGATATTCTTCGTGTTATTGTGTATTTAACGTCGCTTCACGTGACCCCTTGCAGGCGCTAGAGGCCGCTACCATTCGCCAAAACATAAACAAACAAAAAATACTCGGACGCCCCGTAATGGAACTGTGATAATGAATCCAAATGGACTCGTTACCACCCGTGTCAACACCACACGCAGTGGCATGGCACACGGACACGCTGTGTACTCAGTTGTGTGTTCACCTCTATAATCAGAGCAAACACAACCAAAGTTTATTTCATTCAAGGCGCCTTTCGTTAAACCATCATTATACAATGAAACATTATTGTATTATGTTTAACTTCTTTTGCACCGCACAATACAACGTTATAAGAAGAACTCCATTATGCATCTCCGCCCTGATTTTTAGTCTAGCAACAGCATTGGGTCTGAAATAAGTGTGTTTATTTAAAAATATTCTAGAAATATTGTTATCTAGCTACGGTATTGTCTTTCCAGACCAGCAAGCCAATATGCTAAGCAAATATATTGATGTTTTTAGAGATTCGGTGCAGTTCAGCTCCATAATTAGAATGGTTAAAGCAATTCGGACTGCTGATGAGACACTGCATGTCGAAACTGGTCTAGAGTTTGACTTGTGTTGAACCAATGCTGCTGTGATTATCCACTCCCTTACAAGAAGGCCGTGTGGATGATGGAATGTGTAGAAATATATAGGTTCACGTGGAGGGGCAGAGATGAGATTAATCGCCTGCAGATTGAAGCACCTACTCTATATGGGACAATCCTTGACATCGTAAATCTTCCTGTAAAAAATATCTTGAAACAGAAGATTAGTTTTGCATTTGCAAATGTGATTTGTAACTTTGATCCTTACTTCTGTATCGATAATTCAATGTAAATGTGCCATTTTATTGAGGGACTATTGTGCGTTACGTTAGCAACCGTGTGTTGAACTTCTTTTGCACCGTATGTAGCCAACCGTGCTAAGTCTTGGATTATTTTGTTGTTGTTTATCGTGCCGTGCCCAAGCATGATAAGTCGGACTTGTATAATTATTTTATTTTATTACCTTTTGTGACTTGTATTATTACCCTTTTCTCTCATTTGCCCTCCGATCGTGTGGCCGTATTGTTCGCCGTTGTAACGTCGCTGAGCCGCCCCAACTGGACATCTATAGGGGGGAGGAGGAATAGCTTCACAAGTCATCGGATTCCTCCGGGATTAATACAAGATTCTCATTCTGCCCATCTGCAGTTTCATAGCTGTCAACCCATGCGGTTTACCCGTATTCTTGTACAGCGGACAGAAGTTTCAATATGGGCAACACAAATCAGCATGACTGTGTGCATCCACGTATCAAGCAAGCAGCAAGATCACAGACAGTCGCATGATAAGTAGCGTAATTGACACCAATTATCAACATTAATACATACAACAGTTTTTGTTAAGGAACATGTTTATCTGTTTGGTTTAACGCGTATGCTTTCGCGACCAATATCATCCATAATGCAGTTTTTTTTTGGGTTAGACATCGGAAATATAAATGTGGTGTTGTGAAACCCGCCACCACTCGACACAACCAATTAGTAAGTTTCGTCACGTAAGCAGCCAGATTTGGCTGTCGCCTGATGATGCCGGTTGTAATTACTGGCGAAACCTCGTAGTCGAGATTGTAAATGTTGTAGCTTGGCTCTCCAACACACTGGTTAGTGCTGTACTAGTATACTCACTATACACTACACTACTATACACTACACTATACACTACACTATACACTACACTACACACTAGTGCTGTACTAGTGACGAATTGACCACGTTCTGTTTACGTGACAAACCTTCCTAATTGGCTGTGTCGGGTGGTGGCGGGTTTAACGACACGTTTATATGATGTTTGTCTATTTGTTTGTGTTTCTCACCTTGTGATGGGACTCTGTAGGAGGAACGTGGAGTGTGTAGGGGTCACACGGGTGACCTCCAGCAAGCCGTGACGCTGCTGCTGCTCTGTGACGCGCGGTGGGCGGGGCCACCGACGTCGCGTTAGAAGCCCAAGAATCTCACGCCGGGCGGAGGGATACAACGGCGCTCGGCCCCCCCCCGCCCCCCCCCGCCCCCCGGCGCGGCGGTGACGCGGCGGCGTCGCCCCTGGCAACGGGAAAAGCCGCGTCCGCTGCTGCGGTTCACGCGGAACTTGACAAGAGACACAAACAAACAAACAAACGCGCGTCAACAAATGTCAACAAGCAATCAGACGGCTTTGAAGCCGCGGCGGCCGCGTTAGCGATGTGAATAAGAAGAAAGCGCGGGGTTAGATGTTGATAAATATTAATGCGGGTCGAGATGATGGAGAGAGCCGTCGCTCAGGGGTCGAGCTCTGACCCCGAGGGGAAGACGAAGAAGATGACGAAGAAGGCGGCGGCGATGAGGAGGAGGAGGAGGAAAGGGGCGGCGAGGGACGAGGTGAGGGACGAGGTGAAGGTCGAGGTGAGGGACGAGGTGGTGGTGGTGGAGGCGGTGAAGGTGGCGGAGGGGATGAAGATACAGCAGCTGAGGGCGGTGATGGCTGACGAGGTGAAGGAGGTGAAGGAGAACGCGACGAGGAGGAGGAGGAGAAGGAGAGACGCGGGTGAGTCGCTGACAGTGGTGAGATGCCGTCACTATTATCAACACCAGCGTCACCACCGCCATCAAGATCATCACCATCATCACTATCATCATCATCACCACTATCATCACCACGATCGCCACCCCCGTCACCACCATCAACATCACCACGATCACCACCATCATCACTAACATCACCACTACCACCACCACCATCATCACCATCATCACCACCACGATCACTACCATCACCACCATCATCATCATCACCACCACCATCACCACCACCACCATCGCCTTGTTTCATATCGGGTGTCATGTCGAGGTAACGCGACTTTCATGACCGCTGTCTTATCAACATTATTACTACAATTATAAGTTCGGGTGGAATGGTGGTGCAGTGGTTAGCACAATATGTACCCGGCCACCTGAGCTCGACACCCGGCCACCTGAGCTCGACACCCGGTCACCTGAATTCGACATCCGGCCACCTGAGTTCGACACCCGGCCACCTGAGCTCGACACCCGGCCACCTGAGCTCGACACCCGGCCACCTGAGCTCGACACCCGGCCACCTGAGCTCGACACCCGGCCACCTGAGCTCGACACCCGGCCACCTGAGTTCGACACCCGGCCACCTGAGTTCGACACTCGGCCACGGCCTTATTCACGTCAGTGGCGAGCGACGTGTGGACCCATTCCCTCACCAACCCGCCGTCTGTGTTGCGTGCCTTAGAGCGTTAGAGTGTCCAGCAGGGGATTGACAGAACGGCTGTAATTTATGATTATTATCACCGTTTTATAGTCGGGCATGTTCAGGGTTTGCGGTATGTAATTCCGAGTAAGCAGTCATCAATTAACCTGACTTGGCACAGAGTTAGCAGCAGAGTGGTCGGCTTTGTGCCAGCAGAGATTTAGTTTCCTCTTGTGACTCTACTGGTGTAGCAAGTGGGGTGGACTGTGGTGGTGGTGGTATCGTGGTCTTTTACTACTCAAGCAGGCAGATAGATTTTTGTTGTTGAGAAAAATTTGTCATCTATCAATAGAAGATTTATACCCAAAGGAAGCTTTTGACATCGAGTTGAGATATTCGGAAATTTAATTCACGAGCCCATGAAGTTTTTCTCCAAAATCGCCATTTTTAAATCCTTTATATTAAGTTCACTTGCTTGCGTGCTTGCTTACGACCGTGCAAATCTTTCGGTCGTTTTTTAACCCACTTCCCGTGATCCAATCGAGCTGACATTTTCCACACAGACTCGTTGTGCGTGACAAAACATTTTCGTGAACAAATTTTTCCAAAATTTTACACTGTTTAGGGAATTTTTTAAAAATATTTAATTACCAATTGCTTAATGCTGGCAGACAATCATCTGACCCATAGGTGGCAGCCATCTCAAGCCAGAGGACGAGAGGACTCTAGCTGCCACGCATATAAAGGATTTAGAGTGAAAAACTTTGTTTTTACGGGTTAATTTTTAAAGCCCCCCTTCTACACCGTGTCCATCGGGGAATTATTACGCAAATGATGTTGCCAACTCTAAAGTGGACACACAGAACCTGCCATGTGAGTCATTCGTTGTCATTTTAGCACGGAGGCTTTCGCGACCAATATTATCCACAATCAAGGTTTTCTTTGGTCAGTGTGAATACTTGTAAGACCTAATCTCAGGTCTGAGGACCGCCTGCAACTTATTCGAAAGCAGAAATAACACGACGGTATTTAAACTCTGTTTACACGGGTCTGTCTCCACGTGCTTAAGCAAGAACACAGTCTGGTGAATTTGCCATCGTATTCCATAGAAGTTCCGTTGAATAAATCTCTCGTGGATTGCATTAAGTAAACAGTTTTAATTCTAGATTTGAAGTTTTCGTGACTGCAAGGATTCATACTCTTTGGTTTTTTTCGGTAAAGTCACGTAGGTGAAAATAAATGAAATGAAAACAACTGGTGTTGCGCCCGAAACGTTGTGATTTAATTTAGTTTTCATTTTATTTATTTTTACCTACGTGACTTTACCGAACAAACTAAAGAGTATAAACAGTTTTAACAAAGAATATTAAAGTCAAATTATGTATAATGTACTGTACTGCAGTAAAACGGGGAAAGTGTTTGGTGTGTCCATTGACTCCAGTGGGGGAAAAACAAACATTGTGTGAGTTGGTGTGCCAACCGGAGCCACACATTTTGTTGTGTTGGTCAAAGTTGCCTTGGCACAAGGGCTATTGTCGGGTCACACGTATGGCAACGTACACACGCACACATGCCCTGCACTGCAGATACAGATTTCCTGTATCTGTGACTTTCGCCAAAACTGAATGCGAGCTGCTATAGCTTCGTGTCGATGAAAAGAGTCCAAACTTCCTTGTTTATCAGCAGAGCGGCTGCCCTTCGTGAGCTTCACTGTAACGTGTATTGGACTGCTTATTGAATTAAAGAGCTGGTTTAACCTGCTCGCCGTTTAATAATAGTTTAGCTCCCCAGTGATTCAGAAGCCAGTTTGATGTTTATTTGTGCAGAAACGTGTTGGGGCTCTGGATAAATGTATACTCGCGACCATTAAATGAGTTAAGACGGCTGACATCACTGGTCCTGTGGACCCCTCTTCACCAAGCTGCACCGCGTGGTGAAGTATGGTCACATAAACCCCCAAGACCAACAGCGTGGGCAGGCTTTATCCCACAGTGGATTGACAAAGCACTGTTCAATTTTTATTTTCATTATATTTAAAAAAAAATTTAGTACAATCATTTGAGATCATTTTTAAGAATATGGCTTGGGTTCACCCTAATCCTGGCCAGGGCCCAAATACCTTTACTGTAAGCTGCCTTAAGTTATTAAAAGTTGCCTTGGCAGTGGACGCAGTAGAAATATTGGGAATGCTTTCAGCACGCACTTGCCAACTCCCGCCACACACCACCTCGGCCTTCTCCTTGAGCAGTGGCCCATCTCTGCGCTTTGTGGTTCCTCTTAGGTGGCCCAGCTTCCACGACTGCAGTCGTTCCAATTTGCATACACATGTCATGGTAAACGTGGAAGAGATTTGGATGCGTGAATGTCTACACATTTCAAATTTCACATAAAATTAGTTATTTACAACTCTTAATCAATCCACTGCTGGATGCAGGCTTCCCCACACTATGTCAGTTGATGCAGGCTGTTTGGCCATACTTCACACGAGTCCGTGTTGGTTGAGGGCCCAGTTCTGATATCATGTACTACACGACTAAACTTGTTATATTACCAGGCAAGGCCCACGGAGCTATGTAGCTCTTTTTCAGAAGCGATCTGTCCACAAATGATAGCTGAACGATGTGGCTTATCACGTGGACATTTTAACTCGTAATGTTGATTCGAAATGCGGAGGGGAAAAATGGAGGACCTGGAGAAAAATGAATATGCAAACTCCAAATATGTAGGCTTCAGGGTCGAGATTGAACCCACGTACTCCTGTATACCAGGCGAGGTCGTTCACATTTCGCCACCTGGGCTACTGATGCCAGCCGTTGTCAGTAATCAAACTCAAGTTGCTGGGCTCGTAGCACAGCGCTCTAAATACTTCGCCACCACTCCCATCGACACATCTTAGCAGAATTAAACATGCTGGAGCCAACAGAGGACATTTGGGTTTTAGTGCAGATTGCTCATTTGACAGTCGGTACTCTGGCTGAATGATCACAGACGTGCCAGGTGACGCCTGCCAACACGGTGTGCGGGGGACGGCGTGCGACCGTTTTCAATTCACGGTCGTGCCACACTTGCGGCGAGTGGGTCATTGTGTAGCGACAATAGCCCTGCTGCTGCCCCTGTGAAAGAGTAAATTGGATAAAAATGCACAACGGCCGGCGGTGAAGTGACAGCCCATTAAATATTGAGAGACTGGAAAAGTGCCCCTAGCAGCACTGCTGTTGTTAGTTGTACGGGGCCCTGAGCTGCGGATCACCACAATAACTTTGACACCGAGCAGATAATGAATGTACCCTATCTGGGCAATGTTGGAAACTTTCATCGTGTTTATATGCTCAAGTTGTTCAACACATGGTACATCTGTGTGCGGTATATACCAAACATTCATGTTGGGGAAAAAGAGGAGCACGTTGATTGGAGAACATATGCAGGTTGACCACATCATCCAAACTATGAATAAAAGTAAGTGGGCTAGGGTAGGACGTGTTGCGGCTAGAGGGGACAATGAACGATTGTCCAGAATAATAACCGAGTGGCAACCGAGGTATGAAATGCGTCCAAGTGGACGTATACCAATGAGATGGAGCGGTGAAACCAGTTTATCTGCAGATGCATCTCAGTATCGTGAGAGGTGGTGGCAGCTTGGGAGGCCTTCATCCAGCATTGGATTAATCTTGGCTGATGGCAATGATGATGATGAAGAAGCCAAGCGATGCTGTTGTAATAGATGGGATGCTCCACTTTGCGTCAGGACTGCCAGTGCTGGCTTTGGCCGTAACAAACACGAAAATTTTCCAGGTCGCGAGTAACGAGCCCGGAGTAGGCACGTGACAAGTAGCCACAGTCAAAGTGCGAGGTAAACTGGATGTGGTGTTCCGGATGCAGAGATACATTCTGGGTCGCTGACACACCACAGATCCAGCTGCAATGAAACCCTCATGTTTACCTTATAAATATAACCACATCTGTCGGATATTTCTATTCAGGCAATCGTTATTGACAAAGAGTAGCACATCTAATTAATTATCTGTACTGGAAAACGTTTGCAAGCTTTACATGATAAGGTCGCACTCATTACGCACACAGTGCTTGTCACAAATGAACCACAATACTTTGGCGATCTCGTCAAGGAGTAATAAACCATCACGTGAACTCCCGTCATCCCCGCAGTAGCGGCTTTTGGCTAGCTATTGAACAAAAACGGGCATCGCATCGCGGCCGTCTGAAACGCCGAAGCCACTGGAGGTATGCACTTTTAAATCATCTAGATTGAAAACTCATTTACTTCAAACTTATTTTTGTATTTAGTTTGTTGTCCTTCCCCTGCACCTCTGATTATCACTGTTGGCTACGTACGGTGCGAAAGAAGTTCAACATTTATTCATACCTCCAATTAGTACGGTTAGCTACGTACGGTGAAAAAGAAGTTCAACATAAATACTGTACATGCAGAAGGTGGCTGATTCTTGTTTTACGCTTGACCACTCGGCAGTAACAACCTGAAGTCTGTACAGGTCGCAAACACGACAACGGCACCACTCGGAGCCCTGGCAACGGCCCCTTACCCCGCTGAACCGCGACCGCCTCTTAATAACTTCCTCTTCGCCAGCCTTGCTGCCGCATCATACGACTGCATGCAGCGGCAGCTGTGAGGCGAGGCCTTTCTCTTCTATTTTTACCAGGTGGCTATGGTCTTGTGTTGGTTAAACACCAGTCGGTCCACCTGGCCTGCACCTGTAGAGTGCACAGTGTATGGATTGGTTTACAGTACGTGGAGACACTCGCGCACACCTATAGTTACGTATGCGCGTGTACGTACAGCAAAACTCTATTTGGGTTAATTTAGCACAGGGGGCGACAACCTGCAGCTCCAGGGCCGCGTGCGCCGCGTTAAGGAACTGCTTCGTGACGTTATTTATGAAGGGCCACCGTCTCATAGTCACATAAAATGCGGCTCTTGAAATATTTTTGTTGACCAAATTGGAAAAAAATGGCTGCTATTGTTATTTTGGTTTCCAACCCCTGATTTAGCATGATATTTCACGTGTATCTCAGTTGTCAAAATACTTTACATCAAACGATTGGAGAGAAAAAACGATTTGTTGAAATAAATTGCTGTTCAGTGAAAGGTGGGTGGAGTGGTGGCGCAAAGATTAGCACATTGCGCTCTGCGCCCTGCCACCAGAGTTCAGCTTGCAGCCACGGCTAACATCAGCCACAACTGCATGTCTGCACCGATCCTGGCACTTCCTTCACCAACCCACACGGACCAGCGTGGTGAAGTATGGTCAGACAACTACCATGACCGGCACAGACATTGGGAGGCTTTCATGCAGCAGTGGCTAAAGGGGTGTGAAAAAAAGTGTGACATGGAACAGCCAACCGCGGTCAACAATATTAATTTAGAAAATGGAGAAAATATGTTTTAGCAATTATTACTCTGTTTTAGTTTAGGCTACAATACATTTGAATTCTAGGACAATTTACAACTTTTTTTTCAATCCACTACTGAATGAATACCTCCCAAAGGCATGTCAGTGTGGATTTGGCGAATGGTAGACGATGCCCTGTTCAGCTATCACTCACCACTGGTGTTAACCATGGCAGGGAGTCAAACTCAGGCCACCGGGTCAATTGCACAGTGCCCTGAACAGTACATAAACCAAACTGCTCAGATGTCTGTCACAGCCTTGTACAAATATATAAAACAGCCACGCTGGGTTTCAACATGAATGAAAGGAGCGGTGTGTATGTACAAACACTTTACGCATATTCTTACATTCCAGCATGCCAGAAGGGTCTGGGAAAATCACTCGAGAAAGCGTCGCTGTGTGTGCACTCGTCCCGCGATGTCCAGTGGCCACGGGACAGAGAGCACGCACGCACGCACACACGCACACTCGCTCGCCCCAGCGCCGGCCTCTCGGCTCGCACTCCACGCGCGTGTCTCTCGCGAGCGCTCGGTCGGGAACGAGGGCCGGTGTAAGGGCCGGGATATCGGCCCCTCGAGGGGCCACTCTTGCCATGACGCGGGGGCCGTGCTCACGAGCCAGCGCCGAGGGCCGTGCTCACGAGCCAGCGCCGAGGGCTTGTTCGGAGGTTCTCGTGGCGCCAATGGGCCCCGTCGGCTTGCCGGCGTGTAAACTGCATGGCAGAGGGCCTCGGCCGTGCAAAAGAAAACAAAGCGAAAGGCCACTCCTCCTGGGTCTACGAGCTGGACACGTACTCGCAGCCGCACTTCATTGATCAAAGCTCAAAATCAAACTACTTTTAAATGTGAATGTGTATTTGGTTAATAAGAGTTGTATGGTGGGGGTGGTTGTGTTTGTCCAGTGTTGCGTTTTGGAGTGTGTTTGAGCGTCTCGTTGGAGGAAAGTGGAGTTTCTGAAGAAAACCACAAGGTGTATACAAGGGAAACAGGCGCTCACATCCTCTAGATTGATCGGTCAGCTGACCAATACTGTCATTGCTTGATGATGATCCATACTCTTTGGTTCTTTCGAGAGAGCGAGTAGGAAAGAAATATTTGCTTGTAAATGTAAGCTCGGCGAGGGGCCGGATGATCCATAATCCAGGTTTTTTTTGGGTTAGATCGCGTAAATATATAAATGTGTATTATGGATGATATTGATCGGTAAAGCCTACGAGATGATGATGATGATGTAATGACTGTGTCAAACTTCATTTGTGGAAATCTTTTAAAACAATATGGGCTCCTTGCCCATCACATAGGAATGTAACCGCCCCCCCCCCCCCCCCCGACGCCCTTCTCAGTGTTACAGCCTTTCTATAGGCCCTCTGCCTTCACCAACCTGCGCTGACCAGCGTGGCGAAGTATGGCAAAACAAACCCCACGTCCAACACGGCCTAGGGACACGGTCATCCAACAGTGGATCAACCAGGCAGCTGTAAATTATGTTCTGTTCTTGCATATGGCAATGTGTTCAGGGGCTCGATGTCAAGGTCTGCTGCTGGCCGGTCACAACGAGTGGGTTTCGGGAGAGGGAGAGTTGGTGCAGTTTTGCTGCTCCTCCTCTGTTGGGGCACGGACCACGGTCCGTAGTTTGGATTGCATAGCTACAATCGTACTGCAGTGGCTTGACTTTGATGTATCTCTTTGGCTCTCTCTGTACCTCTGAGTCTCTGTCTTTCTGTATGTTCTCTATGGGTCTCTATGTATTTCAGTGGGTGTTTGTATATCTGTTTTTATAGGTTTACGTATGGTTCATAGTTTGGGTTGCTTGGCCCCAATGGCACTGTAAATGATTATCATTGACACAACCTCCTCGATCACATGGCAATTACAAAAAAATATCAAATTGCTCTACGACTTTTGAAACGTTGAATTTTTTGCCGTTATCATTTTTACCATTGCTGTTCATCTCGCCTCCTCAAGGGAAATTGCATAGCAGCAGCGGAAGCAGCGAGCAGGAGCGCGGCCCAGCGCCGGCCGCCGCCACCACGGCGGCGCCGGGCACCGGCGATGCGAGCCTGCGCTGGGAGGGCGCGCTGCCCGACCCGGCCGCCGAGGAGGAGCGCATGCGGCTCTACCGGCTGCGGCGGCGCGAGCGCTACCTGACGGCGCGCCGGGACCTGTGCCGCCGCCTCAACCTGCCGCCGGCGCTCGCCGAGCCCGACCGCGACTCGCCGCCCGCTGCCGCGCCACGCGTCGGACGGCCCCTACGTCCTCACCGCGGACGAGTACTCTGGCCTGCTGCTCCTGCGGCGGAGAAGTCGGCGGGGCGAGGCGGTGGGCGCCGCGCCGGTGCCGTGGCACCATCGCCAGGTGGAGCGGCTCGCCGTGCGCATCGCAGAGTTGCCGCCCGTCGGCGCGGAGGTCGGCCCCGCCGCCGTGTGAGCGCCTGCTGTGCGAAAAGGCCGGAGGGACCGCAGCGGTTCCTCGTGAGAACCGTTGTTCGGGGGCCTGTTAGCTGGGCACGGGGGCAGTTGTGCACGCCTATAAGTTGAGATTTGGAGGTTGTGGTTTATAAGTTGTGCCGGGATCTTATTCGTAAAAGACCCACCTGCTGGGCGGGGGGTTGTGTAGCAAGTAGGTGGCTTAGCTGTCTGTGGATTTCTTTTTTATTTTCCGCCCGTATGAGTGGGTTTTCTCTCACTCGCAAAATTACTGAAATGGGATTTGCCCAAATCATCCGTAGCGAGAACCTCCTCAAGAGAACCGAACCTCATTGAGGATTTAACGGGCAAGTGCATTTAACTGATCGTAGTTTTGGCCACAGCCCCATTGCTATTTTAACGCTGACCCCGTTTAGCAGCCTGCTTTCCAAGCAAGGCGGATTGTTTTCCCTCATGGATGTGAAGATGTGTACCACCTCGTCAGTTGGATCTGCAATGGACTGATTCGTATGATGTTCCAAAAAGTCGTTTCCCCATTCTCCTTTGGAATGTTGCACCGAACGCTCCGGCTGTGCAAAGTGCACCGAATATTGTCGATGCATTGTTTACGGCGCAAGGTCCCAAACTCCGATCCTCACAACCCACTCAAGTCTTCCCAGTCTTCTCCATTCAAGTATAAATTAGGTTGTTGCACACTGCACACACCAAGATGATTTCTAAGCACATCAACAAATGTTACATTCCACTGGCACAAATCTAAGTCATTTCATCATTAGACCTCCTTTGCCAGTACCCAAATATAATAATAGGGGTTTCCCCCTTGTTTCTAGCAACAAAACTGAAACCTTTTTACAAGGATTTATGTCTGCATTAACCACAATACTTGCAGTCAAAATGCAAACATAAAACATACTCTGATAATATATGCATTGTCCATGAAACTGGTGTGGACTATATATTATCAGAGTGTGTTTGATGTTTACATTTTGACTGCAAGTATTGTGGTTAATGCAGACATGAATCCTTGTAAAAAGGTTTCAGTTTTGTTGCCAGAAAAAGGGGGAAACCCCTATTATTATCTAAGTCATTGTTAATCTGAATCGGCGCTAAGTTGCATGTGACGCACACACACATGCAAGATGTCTATCTTCATTTGAAATTGCACTCAACGCTATCTACCAATCATTGAGTGTGCGCAGCATGTAACAAATAATGAATGTGCACGGTAGCTTGGTAAACGCTGAAAGTTGAACTCTGGCCGGTTTCAAAGACTGGAGTTTAGGGAAGCCTGTCACAAAGATTCACCAACCAAGATGAATAATACAAAACGTGGCTTATAGACACCAAAAGTTGCCATTGTGACTGTAAGACTGGTCGTCCTTCCAGCATGCCTGGCATTGTCACATGACCTCACCATGCAGCGTGTATAATGCACACCAGCCTTGCTAATAATCATTTAAAATATTATTATTACCAAGATGTAAAATTGTGGCCATATTATTGTACCCCTACCCCCTCCGATTGGAAGTTGTTGTACACGTGCCACTATCCCCTGACCGTGTTCCGTTTGCCACAAATTGAACGGTTTGTGCAAAGCATAGAGTCGTACATTTGTATTGCTATGAATATCTCACGGTGTGATTATTTTTAGTTCCTTTGCAAATATTTGAGGCAAATCTGCTCTAGAAATTGGATAACAATGAAAGACCCCCCCCACACCCCTTTGCCTGCTGTAGACTTTTATACTTTTATCACGTCATGCAAATAGATTAGATCAGATTTCAGAAGAAACCCTCTCCAATATACGAGGCTCCCAAAGGCATATGGCCGCAGCGAATGTTCATGACTGCTGTACTGATGAGTCCTAATAAGGATGGAAACCTGTTCACAGTTGTGTCTGTCTCACCGCAGGCTGTTGTTGGGTTGGCCGCGTTTTCCCAACTCCTTGAGTTCGTGGTCTAAAAATTGCAAGAGAGACTGACGCACGTATGCAGTTCTTTTGAGCCGGTGGTCTGCATAAGGCTGAGAGTAATGCACGTGTGTGTGTTGTTTAAATCTGTTCAGGTGAAGTTAATTAGTTTATTGCATGTAAACGTTTGGGATGTGGTCGTCACCCCTTTGTGACTCCACAATCAATTGATGTTGATGCACATGCCAACATTTTCGCACAATTTAACAACTCTTCATCATTTTTGGAGACTGCTGAATCTCCGATTGCGAATAACGTCGGGGCGCCGAGAGGATCCACTTGCCGATGCCATACAGTTGTGGCAGCTGGGTAGAAACAGTCACGTGTGTAGGTCGGCTTGCAAACAGGCGCCCTGTGTGCGTGGGGAGCCGAGGTGTAGGGAGCTGGGGAGGTCTTTTATTGAAGCCACAAATCGAGCGACAAGATCCACCGGCGTCTCCTCTCTTCCTGTTTGTCTCTGCCTCTCAATTCGCTCGTCCTACCCCACCGCCAAAACGTATAATGTTGTTGTCACTCAGGAATGACATGTTTCGTGTATTCCACATTTCTATTACACGTCTACACTCGTGATCGTTTACTACGTGCATCATTGGTCGCTCATGATCCAAAAACGTCGGTTTACAGAGCGTATTACCAATCAGCTTTATGGCCGTTCATATGCGTCACGGCTTTTTAAGGCCCTGACTCGCCCGCTATAAAAGGCGAAGAACGTCATGTATATATGTTTTATAGTCTAAAAGATGTATCCCCACTCTGAAACATGCGCTGATCGGTGCTCAACACCTCTTATCACTGATCCTCAGCCAGTGGTGGAAATTCCACATTCTCGTGGTAGGGGAGGGGGGATCTTACACTCCCTAACACAACAACCTCTTTTGAACGGTAGGCGCTGCTTATTTTACAAAACACAGAGGATGATGATGTTGGTGGTGGTGGTTGTGATGATTGATGTCAATCCCGACAGGAATTTGAGCTCATGGTCATACGATTGGAAGCCCTGCAGCCTGACCCACTGAGCTATATAATAAACTATATATATATACACACACCAGCGTGCCCTGAGCGTTTTGAGAATTTTTAGAATGAGTTCCTAAATTAGTGTCTCTATGACCTCATTTTAGACCTATATTGGAACGCCACATCAGTGAGATGATCTTAGAATAGCTCCATTGATGTCATAGGCGACGTCAATGTAATCCTGTCTCGATTCTCCAACCGTTCAGCTGCGCTGCACCTGCAGTACGTGTCCGTCGTGCTTGGGAATGCAGTGACGAGACCTCGCTTTCGTTGTACGTTGTACAGCCGCATGATCACAATCAGACTTTTAATTGTCGAGTGATTTTTTTTTGGGGGGCGGGTGGGGGGGGGGGTTGCCGTTGTTGTGAATGTCGGTCACGTTTGCGATTGCCCTCGGTGCTTCAAGCAAGTAGTAGAGCTTCACTCGATTGTTGGTGGGCAGGCGGTTATTGTTGTGCAT